CAATGTATAGGGGATGTAAACTTGTTGACAAATTTTAAGACAACTTGACTTGCAATGCCAGTATTATTTTATCTTAAATTAATATTTCATTTAGCCCCTCTTAAGGAAAGTGACATGAACATCTATATTTTTCCTTCTATAGTGGAACAAACTGTGATGGTGACCTTTTTACTCTAATTTTGATAAATATTTTCAGGTACAACAAATTGACAGGGTGGTGGAGGTGGTAGAAGAAACATTAAAAGGTGAAGCAAGCTTCTTAGCATTTCATATGTTTGATTCCGACTTATATCCTTAATTTACATGGTATGATGATTGTACACATTGAACATTGTGAAAATACATGAAACTACTTGTAAATCAGGTAGACATTTTGATTCCAACCATCAATTTTTTTCAATTTCAATGCTTTGTAGGTCATACAGTTCGACTTCTTGGTCAGAAGAAAGTTGGTGGAAAGAAAACTGGGGGAGCTCCTCTGGATCTCCCAAAAATCCGAAAAAACCCTTTGATAGAAATTATAGCCATCAACACTGGGTGAGTAAAATGATACATACATGAAAGAAGAGCCCCATTGACCCTTGAACTCTCAAGATTTGGTTTTTTATTCTCCTTTCTAGCTGCTACACATTTCCTTTTAAATTTTATAGTGTATGTAGTTACAAGAATTTTGTATCAGATCAAGATAACAACAAATACCAGATGAGTTTGAGTATTCTTATGGCTTGTTTGCCAGATGATGTATGAAGTTACATGTTGCTCATTTCTGGGAGTTAATGCATTAGTCCTTTTATTTTATCTTAATGTTACAAGGCATCCCATAAAGTTTGGTGTGGGTGAATGATTAACTTCTCTCAGACATTTGCATTTTTTTATGATTAATCAGAATTGTTGTCACAGATGAAGCAATTGCCAGTTTTCAGAAAAGTCATATGGTGTTTTAATTCAAAAGAAGGCACTAGTTTTAAGAGGGCTCTTAATTTGATGCATTTACTTGTGCAAGAAGCACAGCCATACACACCCTGTACATACTTAGTTGATATTAATTTTGATAATGATATGATAATAATATTGATACATGTCCTTCGTTAAAGGTGCTTGAACCAGTGCACTTACTGCAAAACTAAGCATGCACGAGGTGATCTGGGCAGTTATCCTCCTGAAGAGATTGTTGAAAGGGCCAAGCAAGCCTTTGAAGGTAAAAGAAAGTCTGCCATATCATTTTTGTTTTGTTTTGTTTTTTTTTAATCTTGTACATAGTGTTCTATATCATATTATATAATAAGCTCAGTTATCACGCGTTTTGATTGGTTCTCACTTATGATCTATTGGAGGACAGACGTATAGATGACATCATCATTAAAACTTTTTTAAATTCTTTATAATTAGATTCCAAGTTGCAGTGCGTCTCTTCAGTAATAGATCACAGAGGACGTCAAAATGTGGTAAGAACATCAGTGATACACTCAGCTGCGCCTCGTGTGCCACTTTTTGTTCTTACCACATTTTGATGTCATCTGTGATCTATTACTGAACAGACCCACGGCAACTTGGAATCTATTTGTTAAATGGTACATACCTACATATAAAATCACAAATACTTGGTTTGTAAGTCTTGCATAGGGCAGTTTGAAATACACAAAAAGAGTTTGCTTTAACGTGCGTTTAGAATTTTCATTCAATTTCTGAATATTAAATTTGTGTTGCAAATCACCTCAAATTTGCTTCCTTCAGAGGGAGTTGTAGAACTTTGGTTGACCAGTGAAGACACAGGAGCTTATGGCAAAGATATTGGAGTGACATTACCTGAGTTGCTATGGCAACTTGTAGAGGTAATTCCAGAAGGGGCTATGTTGAGGATTGGAATGACAAACCCACCCTATATTCTGGAACACTTGGAGGTAAATGCAGTATGACTTGTTAGTCTAGGTGCATGTAGCCAACATGAAGGTGGTCAGCCAACCTTCCCCACCCACCCCTTCAAGCAATTTTTTCAGGTTACTGGGTCTGTAAAATCCAGACTGGACAGGGACAGTTTCAAGGTAAACTTTTTTACTCAGAACTAAATACTAATTACAGTTACCCAGCCAAAGCTGAAACACGAGTGTGTTTCCTGAGTTCAGGAAACAGAACCACTACATCATGTTACAGTTTGTACAGTTGAGAAAAAATGCATGTACCATTGTTTGTGTCATTTTTTGCAGTTGAGAAAATCACACTGTTGTTGGTGACATTCATAAGCTCATGCATGTGTATGCAGTTTTTTGTCACTCCTTATGTCCAGTGATTGATGACACAGTTTAACAATATTTTTTCTCCTTCTTCTCAGGAAATGGCAAAGATATTGAACCATCCCCGTGTTTACAGTTTTCTGCATGTTCCTGTCCAGAGTGCATCAGACAATGTTCTCAGTGACATGAAAAGAGAGTATTGTGCTGATGATTTTCGTCATGTTGTCGATTTCTTAAGAGAAAAGTAAGTCCACATTATGAATATAATAAAGAAACCCTGTTTCTATAGGCAAACCTTTTTTGTAAAGTAAGAGTTACGCATGCATGCATTCTCTGACAAGTTTTATTTGGCCATTCATCTACAGTCTAGTCTGTGTGGGAGATATGCTAGGATTTCCTCTTAAACTGCAGTAGTTCTTTAGTATTATTTTGAAAAGGATCTATTAATTTTCTTTAGGATAACTTTTTAAATTATAAGGCACACTATGGTTAGGTTTGTGATGAGGATTTACTAGTTCCCTGGTGCCTTAAATTTAAGAAGTCTTTACACATTTGGTTCCAGTGATTAAGAAAAATTGCCATGGAATTCCTTTTTTGTCATCTAGATGAGATGATACATCCTAGGGGTTTCCTTACATATGCATTGGTTAATGATATTGAAAGATAGAAAGAGTGGACAAAGTATCACTTTGTTTTGAGCAAAGTATCACCATCATACCATATGTATCAAATTTTTAGGGAACCTTTATCTATCTCAGGAGTGCTGCAAAAGGGTGAAGGAATTTTACACCAAGTTTGATTTTTTTTTTTAAAAAGAAAGATACAATTGATCAAATGATTGCTACCAATAATGGAGAAACAGTTTATGTGGCATACAATTGAATTTAAACTGAATGTAAGTGACAATTATGTAGGACAACATTTCTGTCATGAGATTACCAAGGTAACTGGTCTAGGAAAATGAAGAGAGATCGCAAATTCTACAAAATCCCTTCTCAAGCTTCGCATTGAAGCTATTGAAAATGACCAAAAACATGATTTTGCTGGAATAACAAAGAAAGAAATTTTGTTGTTGAATAATTTTTTTTTTCATAATTTTGAAACCAACTTCTTAATCATAAGTCAAGGGAAATTTCAAAAAAGAAAATCTGGATTTTTTCATGTTGTTAGCTCAAAAGAGTGTGAGCTCAGAGTTAAAGCTTTTGAATCCAATCTTCAGGGTACCAGGGGTAACCATAGCAACAGACGTGATCTGTGGCTTTCCTACAGAGACTTGGGAGGACTTTCAGGAGACTGTGGCTCTAGTTGATCAATACAAGTTCCCCAGTCTGTTTATTAATCAGTTTTATCCTCGCCCTGGGACACCTGCAGCAAGGATGAAAAGACTACCTACAGAAGAGGTACAGTGCAATGACTTCTGCTCTCAGCAGCGGCCAGGGATTTTCTTTCATGCTAATTTGGTATTGAATTTTAAAATGTTCAGGTTAAGAAGAGAACAAGAGAAATATCCAAAGTCTTCCACAGCTACCATCCGTATGATCACAAGGTTGGCATGTCTTAAGCGTTGACCCTTTTGCTGCTTCTTTTTTTTGTTTTTGTTTGTTTGTTTCGTTATCTTGTTTTTGTTTGTTTGTTTCGTTATCTTGTTTATGTTTGTTTGTTTGTTTGTTTTTTTTTGGTTTGTTTTATGTGGTATAGTAAAGAGCCCGATGCAGTGGTTTTTATTGTATTCTTTTGTTTTTGTTAAGGTGGGTGAGCATCAAACAGTCCTGATAACAGAAGACGCAAAGGATCAAGCTCACTTTGTCGGTCACAACAAATATTATGATCAGGTAAGTGTTACTCATTACCTAGTCTCTCGGGTTGGCCAACTAAGTTACTGGTCAAACGGGTCTTTTCCTTACCTCAAAGACTTTCCTCTTATGGCTTGTAACTCTTCAATCCTTTGTCAATCGTGTCGTGGTAACTCTTCATCGTTGCTACTCGTGTCATCTTCGGCTCTCTTAGGTTGTCGATTTTTCGTTACTGGTGGTTGTCTGAGAGGCTGAACTTTTCAGATGCCCTTAAAGTGTATCGTCGATTAATCACACTGTTTCGCTTTTTTTTCCTGAAAACCGAAACTTAACCATTTCTTGCTCTTATTTTAGGTACTCATTCACAAAAGTGAGGGTGATCTCATGGGTAAAATGGTACAAGTAGAAATCACATCTGCAGGAGAGCACTTTCAAATGGCACGTGTCCTACGCCATACCAAAGTTCATTCACCTGGTCTGGTCGAGCCGTTACCAAAAGGTGCTGTCAGCGGTGTTCGCACTACGCTCACGCCCGAAAGAGTCGTTCAAGGTCAAGCAAGTCGTTGGCAGCAATGGCAAAGAGCTGCAGTGGTTGTACTTCTTGCAGTTGTTGTAGCGGATGTTTTGAGAATTTTGTATTTATGGACCAGTCAGTGAAATTGTGATGAAATAGACAATTTAAAAGAAAAATGGGGAAAAAACTCAAAACAAAAAAGTTACAACCTTTTTTCCAAGGTTCACTATTTATATCGACAAAATAGCCGTTGCCTACTCAAAAATGATGAAAAGGATCACTAAATGTAGATTATTTCTGCCTTTGCGAATCACCGAGGCGGTTGATGCGTGTGGTTGGAAAAAAGCTAATAAGTTAATTCCTTGATCAATTGCGTATACCAGTAGAAAACTTGTCCTCAGGAAATGATTCTGATTTACCAGCTTCCTAACGCTGATGTTGGACAATAAAAAAAACAGTGAGTAAAAGCAATATGTTTTGTATTTCAAGCGAGTTCTATAGGGATTATTAATGAACCAACGCCCTGTTTCAGTCCTGGTGAAACATCGCCATCTCTCATAACCATAATTCGATATATACATCTGTGGTTACTCAGTTCCCTTTTCTAATCGTTGCACATATATTTCAACTCTCATACAAGGATAAACCCAGTGCGTGACAGGATAAAACCGAAAAAATCTTGTTCGAGTTGGGCTGCGAATCAAATGTTGGACAACGCTGGTTCTATCCGTGTTTGCTCCAAATATCTACGGAAAAAGAAAAGTACAGTTTCAACAGTAGCTACCGTTGTTTTCAAACTGATCTTACGAGGAAATAAGTCGTAATTTTTTTAAAAGAAGTTACGAATATTCGCTTAATCAAAGAAGCACTAAAATTTTATTAAATCGTCAATTCAATAAACACCCTAGGAGAAAAATCACAGGTTGAAAAGGAAAACCTTGACCTGACTTTCTTTCTGAACTTCACTTTTCTACCGTGACCGAGTAAAATACGCTAACGGAAGAGTAAAATATTTCTCTTTCAGATCAGTACGGTGATTCTTTTTTCCTCCCGTGTTTTCGACAAGTATCAATTACAGGTGGTGCAGGGGGTTTGTACTTCGTACTGAGTTCTTTCATTTTCTGTAATCGTAAAATCAGTTAAATGTTTCTTCTTTACCTTCATTTTATTCAACTCTGTGTACACCATCCAGTTTACCCCATCAATGGAGAAATACAGTTTGTAGCTTGTGACATATGATCCGGTGAGTTTCCCTTGCGTTGCCACAGCACATACGGAGTGGACCTCTCCCATGTCGATTTGAAGGTGGTCTCCTCTGTCATTTTTGGTCCTAGCACACCATCCTCCGCGGCCTCTTGATCCATTCAGACGTCCATAAAAGGCAAAGTACTTATCATAGTGTGAGCTTGATGACATCCTAGCGTCAGGTACCTTATTTATGTCAGCCACTCCCACCGGTCTACAAGCCAGGACTGAGAATACAGTTAAGGATTTAAGTCAGCAAATCGTGAGAGAGACGAGTATGCCCTCAACAAGAGCACGTATCAAAACTTGTATAGAAATTAAACATTTCTGACTACTTTCAAATTATGGAGTGGGAGGTACGGAGAAAATTAACTGATCTCTTGGATAGGTGGAATGAACAGCGAGCCGGCAGAAACAAAAATATTGGAACGAGGCTCGACTGAATTCCCATTAGAGAGAAAGTTTCCTACGATAAGGAAAGTTAAATTAGAAAATATCATTAGCTAAGAGGCCTAACACAGCATACCTGAAAGCTGTACGGAAGTGGAAGTTGTAAATATACCAGCTGAAGACGCCACACAAATATATTTACCAGCATCCTGAGATTTCACTTCCAAAGTTTAAGTGTTCCATTGATGCTAACATTCGATCTTCCAAGTGGTAATGCACCGTTTTCCTTCAGCCAGGATACTTTGTGTTTTGGTTCACCCCTAGCTTCACAGCGTAAGCTAACAGTTTGACCATGATTTACAGAAAGCTGTGGAGGTGGTCTGACAGTGATTACTGGATCGTCAACTACGACAAGATGCGTTATGGCCACAGCGACTCCAATTTTGTTAGTAGCCCTGCACTGATAAAATACCGAATCTTCCTTATGAACGTTAACGATCGACAGTTGTCCGTCACTGATGTCTCTCATACGTGGATGTAAGTCAGGGACTGATATCTTTGTCCAAACAATCTTTGCAGCTGGAAAACTGGCAACAGCACACTTCGGAAGCATGATTGTGTTACCAACTGCCACATAGGAAGGGCCCGGCTTGAGGGAAATTTTCGGCGAGGCTGATTTAATAAAATGAATTTATAAATCAAAATTTCTACAAATATCATGTTTTCATTAAGAAATGTGCAGCTTTTCAAGGAACGCCGAATTTTTTGTGAATATGTACGCAACCGCCAGAGAATGATAGACAAGACTACACGCTAAACAATGTTAAAGAAAAACCTGTGGCAATTTCCCACGAGTCTCTTTTATCCTTGTTTGGGAATAAGATGTGTAAGTGCACTGTGTGGCATGGTAATCCTTAAACTCCTAAGATTGAAAAGCATCTAAAATCTCTCAAAGTACTAAGGTCTTGTGAATAAAGGAAAAAATCGCAAACTTAAGTAGCTCTTGATTGTTGGACTAATGCTCCTTGAAAGGACCACAGGAATTGTAGGGAGAACAGCATCGAGGAAATGCACACTGATGTTAGGTTATTTGACAATTATTTGCCGAAAGCGAAGCCAGTTGAATAATCCCCTCGACTTCGTCTTAGGGATTATTCAACAATATTCACTGCGCCTGAGGCCAATAATTGTTTTAGTATAATTGCTTAGGTGCTTATGATTTCTGTTGTAAATATTCGTTTTGACGTTGAAACCATTCTGTTTCAACTGTTTTTATTACACTTCAGCGAGATGAGCAGCGACTTTCCACTAGAATTTTATAGGTTGATATAATTCAATTGGCAAAAACTTCATGTCTTTCTTTTGAAAAATGTTACTACAGCATCTTGCGTGCTCTTCATGATCGAATTTTCTTTTACCGCGTTCATCACTTCCTCTGTAATACTGACAAAACGCGAGGCAGCAATATTTTAACTTAACGCTCTTGCTGTAATCACTTCGCGCAAGGTGATTATAGCGAGCGAACAGAGCGCACGCATCTGTATAATCACAGGAGCAATTATACTAAAAAGGGTTAAAGGCTTAAAAGGGAGTAATGTTTGCATCCTCAAGCCACTGCACTTACATTAAAGTAACTCTCACTTACTTTGAACCACCACTTGGGTGGTCTTTTCATCATTTCCAAGAACATTGTTTCCTACACACTTGTATGTGCCGGTGTCTTCTGCGCGCACATCATGTATCTGCATCACTCCATCAGCGGTTGTCTTGATCCTGTTGCTAGGTAACGATCCCGTCGTCTTTGACCAAGATAGCTGAGGTTTGGGATTTCCGGTGGCGGAACAGGTAAGCGAGACAGTGTCGAATTCATTGACTGTTATTTGTGAAGAAGAAATTATCACTTTAGGGGCGGAAATATATTCTCCTGGTTCGCCTTTATTCCCTGGGATACCCGGCGTCCCGATGTCTCCTTTGATGCCTTTTTCTCCTCGTATTCCTGGTGGTCCGTGCTTACCAACTCTACCAGGCTGCCCCATCATTCCTTGTAATCCCCTTTTGCCCACTCTTCCTCGGTTGCCCTTGTCACCCTTGGGTCCAGCTCTCCCCGGTGGTCCCTGTGGCCCTGCTGGGCAAACGTTTCGGCGTTTTCCATTTCTTTCGCAAATCTTCATACGTAAAGTCACGATGTTCTTTAAAAGTTCCATCATATCAGTCGTCTCATTGACCAGCACTTCTTGGGAATCTTTGATGTAAAAAGCCTGCGTCTTTCCGAAAATCTGCAACTCAAATATTGTTATGATTAGGAAATTATCAATTCTGGCATCCAATAAAGCCGGGGGAAAGTCATCGTGAAATTTGTGTGAAATTAATTTCAAAGATTTCTAAGAGTCAGATGAGAAAAATAGATGCTCAGTTAAAAATGAAAAGGTGATCTAAAATTTTGCCGCGAGCTAGGGAACCAAAGAAAAATTATCTGTTTTTGGACGTGGTTCACTTGTACATTGAAATAAAATACATATTTTGTCTACTTCCACTGGAATCGTAATTGTATCGCACTTATTTTAAGTGCAAAAGTGTAATCAGGTACTGCGAGGGTCAGACAAGTGTGAGAATAACAGCCTCTGTATGTATCGAATTCTTTGAAAACGCAAACTTCATTATGTCCATTATGTTTGGCTCAAAGAACTTAAGTTTGTCTCGATATTAATGTTCAAAACATTTTCCCATCTCTCACATCAGAACTTATCCATCTTAACCGTAAGAAATGAAACGTGAGCGTGGAGTAACGAGCATGATCTTTGCGAAATTTTTATAAAGCCCTCAGTCCTCGTGAATATAATCCCATCAATGTTTGTTACTATTTTACCATGTTTACCCCCACGTTGGTCGTTAACGACATAAGCCAACGACACAGATTCAGCCATTTTACTTGTTCAAGCATGACAGACCTTCGAGTTCAAGTTCTCCTTTGCCCTCTCATATTTCATCATAGCGACGACTTCCTCGACAGCCTCCAACCTCCGATCGTAAACATCAAACTTCAGCTCGATTCTAACGAATCCCGCGAAATAAAGAACTAAATAGAAAATAGAAATCAATGTGCCTGAGCTAAGAGAAGAAGCAGTATCCTTAAGAGACATTTTGAACGCGACTGAAAGTCGAGAAGAGTGACCCGATAGAATTAGGAATGTGCTACTGAAACGTCATAAGGTCACGAATTTAAGTGAAACTCGACGCTGTTTTTCTTGAGCTGAGGCACAGAAGATATTTGTTCACAGATCGAAACTTCTAGACTAGCTTGAACAAACACCAGACTTCACACGAGGATGGGCGAAGGGTGGAATAAGAAGACTAGTCTCTTTTAGCCATCTTTTGTGTTTCCTCATTTAAATGAGTTATATACCTCCATAGAGACAATTACTGGTGTTAGCCTCGTTATAGGCTCTCGTGCGCTGGGCCAGAAAAACAGATTCAATTTCCTGGTATATTTTTTTGATCTAGTCATTATCTGCCAACCCTTTTCGTCGGCTACCTTACGCTGGAAAAAAATTTAATGCGTTCTTACAGAGGTGATTCTCTTAGTGATAATCAGCAATGGTATCGCACGTACACAACGGAATGTAATGCGCATTTCACCGCCCCTTCTGCCTCGCTTTTCCTCCTTTAGGCCAGCGGATCATAAAAGTAGTTCAAAGTCGCCAATCAGTGATTATATTATTGCAACGGATAAATAACCAAAAGAATGGCTGACACAAATTTCTTTCTCAGTTACTTCCTATTGGTCCGCAAAACTTGTATTCTTTCCAAGCGGATTCTCACAGTGGTTACTTTCGGCAGAGACACTGTGATGATGTGTGGTGGAAAGAATTCATCGGCCTTAATCCAAACACGTCATGATCACCACGGTGAGCTTGAAATTCTCTAAGTTTTTAGTGGGATCAAAGACGAGGACCTCTATGTTTGAATCCAAGAATTTAAGAACAAGGGCTCGACAGCAAGAGGATATATGCTCGACCACTTAAACTAGTTTGCCAACGCAAAGGCGAGGACGTATGGGTTTGTACCTAAAAATGTTAGAGTGAGGGATCGAAAATTAAGATGATATCTCCTTGTTTAGATAAGATGACATATATTTATCAATGTACTAGGAGTAGACGACCCTAAGCAACCTTATCCCTAAGTAATTACTGGATATGCTCGACAACTCTACGTAGTCTTCCCACGCAAAGACGAAGACCTTCGTGTTGGTATCCAAGAATCAAAGAAAAATTCATTAACGTTTTTTTTTTTTTTTTTTTTTTTTTTTTTAACAAGATAAAAGCCAGGATATCTCTTTAGTGCCATTGTTGGAGTCGACCAACGCACACGTTCAACCACTCGAACTATTCTGCCAACGCAAAGACGAAAACTTTTATATGTGATTGGACCCAAGAATTAGGGAATAAGAGACTGAAAATAAAGATTATATCTCTTTGGTTAAAATAAGTTAGGATTATATCTCTAGCTCTATCAGTGGGAGTCGAAAATTCGATACACTCGATCAACCGATCCAGTTTGCCAATGCAAAAACAAATACCTTTTTGCTGGGATCCAAGAATCTAAAAATAAAGAATGAAAATGTAGAAGACATTTTTTTTCATCATTTCTTTTATTAGTGAGATGAGAGGATATCTCTTTGGTTCCACTGGTAGGGATCAACCAACGGATACGTTTGATCACTCGAAGAAGTCTGCCAACGCAAAGACGAAGACCTATGTGTTTAGAACAAAGAATTTAAGAATGAGGGATTGAAAATTAAGAAGATGTCTCCTTGATTTAGATAGGTCAAGATGAAATCTTCTTTAGCTCTATTAGTAGGAGTCGACAAACGGATACACTCGACCACTAGAGAAAGCCTCCCAAACGCAGACGTACAAGTATTTCCGGTCGTCCCGGTAATAACCGGAAGTACGTCTGTGTCTGTGAGCTACATGCACTTATTCCGTAACTATTCACTTTTGAACAACCTGTTGCCTCTTCACGCAGTAATTTAATCGGTAAGTAGTCTATTTTAGTTGATAATTAAACAACGTTGTGTCCAAAAGCGACTCGTCTTATTTTATTGTTTGTCGTAGAAAGATTATTAATATTCCATAAAGTAATGACAGGGAACTTATCAACATCACCGATGAAAGAAGTAGCTTTTTAAGGCTTATTTGCCACCCGTATTGTGTACATTTTTGCCCAGTGGCCCCTTGCAGCTCTCCTCCCGTACTTGTTATTTTATGATGCGAGTAAATAAGTGTTTTATTTTAAAATTAAGAACTGCGGACATCTCCGGCCGGATTTAAACACCATTCCTGTTTAAACAGGACTGACTCATCAAGTGGCTCAAAGGTAAGATATTAGGTTAGGATAGATTTGACACTGAAAGAAGAAGCCCATTTCTTTCAATTGGCTAATACTCCATAAACGGGGAATATTCGAGATTACACAACCTCAACAGGTAAAGAAAACCTAACACAGACAATGACACTAAACACCTGTTGAATCCCCTTTTCGCTCCTTTCTTTGTTTTCTATTTTTTTTTGAAGAGAAACTCATTCAAAGGAAAGTCCCGAAGGATATCTTCAAAAGCGATTTATACGCTCGATCCCCCTGGCTATAATTAGGGAGAGATCACCGAGAGAAACAAATAAGTATCGTAGGCAGGAACATTGATGAGTATTTGTTGTTCGTGTGGAGCCTCTGATATTATTGGAGAAATTGATCAAATTGTAAAATCTTAGTCGCGTTCTTCGAGCAGACGCTATTAAAATCTTTAATTTCTACATTTCCTGAAATATGAAAATGACCTTAAGAGCTCATCCACTTATAACTAGAAACGTAATTGAAAACTATGAATATTCCAATGAATATCGGCGAGTTATTTGTATAAGAATATTTGGATCTCACTCTTCAGTTAGTTGCAGATCCATATAAAACAAATAGCAGTCCTGCATTCAACATCTAAAATGACTGGCTTCTAATTTCTTCTTCTAGTATCACCCTTGATCACGAGAATAAGAGAATGAGGCTAATGATCACCAATTACAGAAGCTCCTGATTGCCCATTAAATTCTCCTTGTCAGTACCATAGGATAAGTATAGTGAACAGTATAGAGAATATGCATACTGATGTGAGGGTGTAAAGGGTTAATCATCAGTTGGCGTAGGTTTGAGAATCTAAAAATGACTTTGAGGAATCAGAAAATCAAGTTCATTGATGGCTGTAGGGCTTCTGAACCTTCATCTCTATGATGAGGCTCACTCTTGATAAAGTACAGCAGCAAAAGTTTGGAGACGTTCAAGTTTTTCTTTTTTGTTCCTTCCTGTCTGCTTTGATAATTATCTTCCCCTTTAACCTACCAGGTTTCCTTTTCCTAAATGTCTGGCTAAAGTTCAACAGTTCCACATTTTCCTTTTTTTTTTCCGGAAAGAGGGAGGGTAAAGGGAGTGCTACTAAATCGGGTGATAATTTATAAAATTAAAGTTCTTCGTCATAGATCATTATTTCATTTAACATCCTTGACACTTTAGCCTCTGATTGCACAACACAGGCTGGGTGTTTCTACCCTTCAATACCCTTGCCCTTTATGAGTCTGTGCATTACTGTTCACCAGCTCATGGTAGTTTGGATGGTATTCGATACATTGATTGATCCAAATATAGGTAGACTGGCTCTTGACTAACAGGTACAACGAGACCCCCCCCAGAAGCAAAACCATGAGTCATTTTCCTTGAATACGGGGGCGAAAGGAAAAGTAGATTTAAAAGGCACCAAAATAACCTTTACCACTCACAATCAATTAAGTCTCAAGTAGAATTGCAATTATGGTGCTAGGATCAGATTATTTGTAACTCTTTCTAAACAGAGTTAGATTTATCTTGTATCACGATATAAAGCTGACGCTGTAAAAGTTAAGAATATCACTTTAATCACTGGTTACGCAGACCGTAATCTACACATTAAACGCGCGCGTGAGTGAGTTCACGCGCAAATATTCACGCGCAAGCTGTGCACGTTGAATATCATGATTCTATTTCACTATGACGTGAACACTGATGAAAAGTTTTGACCACATAGCAACGCTGATTAACACGGGCATGACCTTTCTAGAAGTGCTTAATGGAATCCCAAAGCGTCTTAAAAGCTATCTTTAGCGTATTTAAGACAACCGTATTTCTGTTCAAGGAGTGGCAAGGTGTTAGTCAAGCCTAGGACGAGAAATGAAGGTGTTCTCAGGCAAAGAAATCGTTTGCGTCTTTCTGCTCGTCGCTCTTGCTGCTTCGTCGATATCAGCAAGAAATATCAAGAAAGGTAAACCACAGAAAAATGAACCAAAGAAAAAGACACCAGTTGTAAAGGACGCGCACCCAAAGCACAAGGATCATAAGGGGCGTAAAGAAAACAGTAAAACAAGACTAAAACAAAAGATGCGTGCCGATGGTGAGTACTTAATCATTCATAGATGCTCGGGGGATTTTCCATTATTGCTGTCACACGGAATTGATTGATCTTTAAATGTGCGTAGGATCCTCCACCGAACAAAGCTTTTCTAGTAGAGTTTATTTTATACATGATTTGAAGATAGCCGTTTTATTAAATTTTGTCAGTTTTTCCTTTCTCCTTGCTTTGCGTTCAACGCAATCATTTATTTTCCTCATAAAATGTTTTTAACTCTTTTTGTGAATTATGTGTACCTGGAAGCCGTTCCACATGACAAGTTGACTAAAGGCGTCTCCGGTTTCATTACTTTAAGCAGAAAATACCCTATTTTTGATCACTACGCTCAGCTTTCATCGTAATATTTAAAATAGTAACTTTGAGTAGCCAGAAGCTGTCATCAAAATATATACTGGAAAAGCAACTTGGGTGATTGTCAATAAATTTCTTTTCTAGTAACGAGGTCTTACCTCCACTCACATCTCGAAGTAGCTTTTTAGGTGGTAAAGAAATAAATCTTACTCATTAAACAATAGAATGAAATTTACGTGGTTTCAGTAGTGGGGTATCTTCTCTAAAAGATTAACCAGTGGGAACAATAAGCTCCCTGTTTTATCAAGTTAAAAAACGAAAGAAGAAAGTATGATTGAGGACTAAACATAATGTAATTATTGATTTTTTTAAACGAATCCAGGAACCTCTGTGATCATTTTCTAACGTATAACTTAACTCAGTAGCGAAAAAAATGGGGTTGCCGTGAAAACGGTTTGCGTGATGCAGTTTGTGGTATCACATCGAACCACTGTTGTGGGAGGCAATGCATTGATAGACCACCAGAAACCGGAGGTCTTAAAAACGTTAAAGTGGCCTATTTGCTAACGTTTTCCTCTAAATTTAACCATTTTCTTCTTATTATTTAAGGGCTCACGCACGTCCCATGCTTTTTTTGGTTTGTTTTCTTTTCTAATTTGTACGTTTGAATTTCTATTTATCCAATTATCTCGCCAAGAGGGGTGCACGGTAGATATTCTCCTGTGCGTGTACTGATCGTAAGTAAGCCCTATCTTCAAGGAATGATACAGGTATGGGTCAAACTTTGCAATTTCGAGTTCTGCCCAACAACAGTGCAAAATACGATGCCATAGGACAAAAACTGAAGAAAACTTTATGTTCCACATCATCACAATCATAATGCAGCTGGATTGTCAAGCTGATAATTTTCCAATCAGTAAAGAACTTTTACGCCCATGTCACGGTTTCCACAAAAGTCCCGACTACAGTAGCTAGACCATTAGCAATAAAAAGAACCTTTGTCTCTCGGTTGATGCGAAAAGATGACCCGGAACAATATACTACAGTATTTCTTGATGAGATGGTTTATTTTGGTAAAGTATTATGATGAAAATAGCCACATTTTAAAGGAACTTATGCTTGACCTTTAACTCCCAGATCATATTTGGAATTCTCCTTACTGTCTACAATACAATTCTTATAATGTTAGTTGAGAGAATTTAGTATTTGGTCGACCTTTTATACACCTTTCTAAAGATGTGAAAATGTCTGCTTTCTGTTTCGTTACCTTACTGGTGAATACATCATATCAGAAATTGCAGGGAACACGAATCGATCCTTTTCTTTCTGTCATGTACTGTAAATTAGTCGCCCATGGCATTTTTTTTTTCATTTCTCTACCAACAATACCAATTCAAACTGAGACTCCTTGCTAAATCTAGCTCTTAATCTCCAGAAACCAGATACTTATTTCACCACGTGACCACCCCCAATCAAACAAAGTTTACAGGATACTTTTTGGACCCTAAGATAATACAGTTTAAAAACACGTGATAACAAAATACATTTGAGAAAAAAAGAAACGTTCATCCGAGTTATGTACATCTGTAGAATCTTTTTGTCAGGGCGATATTTAGTCATAAAAATCAAAGAAAGTATTTCAATTAAAACGTATACAAATAACTCCCACACAGATTTGGTCAGTGTTTCATTGTTTAGCTGCTTAATTTTGCTGTAGTGACGCCATGTAGTGACGCCATTAAAAGAAGATAATCACCAAACATACAAAGACCAGTACTAAACAAAAGGCACTATAGTAGGCAAAGCAAATGTTCGCTTACCGATTGAGTAATTATCAAATCAACGATAAATTCCTTCGTAGTCATTGTTGCTAACATACTCATCTAAGAAGGAGTGCAGGGCTCTCGCAGTCCGAGCTTTACTGTATAAGTTGTTCTCTCAACATTAAGGCCACCCAAAACTCGTACCATAGTAAATCAGACGTGTTTTCCACACAAAAGATTCCATTGCCTATAAATATAGCAACATGTCTCAGGCCAAGTACGTCAAAAAAATTGATTCGGGAGACGGCGTTCGTATTGAACATAATGGTGGTGGCCTTGAAAATAGTAAAATTTCGTTTGAAAGAAGACGTTCAAGACAAGAAAAGGTCCTGTTGGCCATGTTTCTGGTCGTTTTGGTGGTTGCGATCGTTTTTGTCGTTCTGTATGCTTGGCAAGTTACCAGGAAGAACACCGAAGAAGATCACGAAACGTTGTCTGTAACAAAAAAGGGACCTGCAACAACGAAGAACCCTTTAACAACGAAGAATCCTTCAGCACCATCTACAGCAGCATCAGTCTGCTCTTCCCCAGACTGTGTATTGACTGCTTCAGGTACGCAGTTTAAGATGAGTTAAAACTACCTTTCAGTTTTTTTTTTCAGAGACACCTGCTAAAATGTATCACAGTTATGATGTACCTATTATTTGGCCACTTGTTCTTTACAGCACGCCGAAAAAATGAGCTCCAGAAGCCCTGCACGCTACAGTTTCACCTAAGGTGTTCCGTGCATGTCACATTCCAAAAAGAATTCATTAATATAGCTTCATTCAGTTCGTCAGTTATGAAGTCATCACGTGTGAGACAGATAAATGGGTACTAAAATTTTTCAGTGGTAAAGTTGAAACAAATCTTTCTTCAATTATCTTTCATTATTGAAATTTTTGAAAAGCTGGTAAATATCCGCCTTTGTTGCATGGTTTTTGCACTTTGCACAAGGTCATTCAGCTATTAAAGTTAAATTAGTCCTTATTATTTGGCAAATTGCTCAAAATAATTCCAAATCACAAGCCAGCATCGATTTACTTTGTCGAACCGAACAGATGTTCAGTCCTAGGTAGTTCTATTAGTATGCATGGATGTTATTCAAATATAACTTTTAATTTGAAAAATATGCAACGGTTCTATGCAAGTGATGGTTTATGCGAGGTAGCGTAATTTTTTCGTCGTTTGAGAAGGCTGAAAGAACAGCTGAGATATCACTCAGCCCCCCACTTCTTTATTAAAAGCTGGATTTCTTCTTGACACGCAAGTACTAGTATTAGTAAGTATTAGTACTATTGTTCAAATTCAGTTTCGATCATATAATCTATTTTTAACACCTTCTTGTTTCCAAAAATGTACAAGAAGTATTTGTCATGGTTGTCATCGAGTGCAATGTTTTCGATAACAGATCGGGTCTTTAAACAAAATGTGTCACTCATGATCAACCTTACACTGACTGTTTTTTTTCAGTGAGGCCCACTTCGGCCCACGTTTAAGTGTTATCTGAAGAAATGTCGAATAATTTTTGGTCCGTCTTACAACTGTTGACATAGATTTTCTTAAACAAAATTACAGTGTCCATTAGCCTTTACAATGTAAGTTACCGTTGAAATTTAATGCACTATTGCACGAAGTTTTCACTGTTCAGTGCGTATTTCCGTTATGCAGGCGCGGTCGCAGATGGGCTAGACGTTACAATTACATGAAGTAGTAACTTCATATACACACTAAGAAATTTGTCAAGAAATGTCAGGAGCAAAATACCTCAAAGTCTCGGACTCTATTGAGGCGATATACGTTCCAGAAGATCTTGAAAGTAACGAGACAGTAACATTTGTGAAGAAACGATGGCCTGGTAAACAGTGCCTTGTTTGTGCAGTTTTCATGATTGTCTTGGTTCTGGCAATAGTATTCTTAGCTTTGTTCGTTCATCAGCTCTTTAAAAGCAAATCTCTTAGTAATCTAGACAAGGAGGGAACAAGAAAATCAGGGACAAACTGTCTCTCCTCGGACTGTGTTCTCGCTGCAGCAAGTAAGTTCATTCGACAGTTCTTTGATAATTTTTTTTATCATTATTTATGAGCAGATGTTTTGTGACCTGAATGACAGCCTGAGGGAAAAGAAGAATCTCGTTGTTTCGGTTGGATTCGTTTGCGTTAAGATATCTTTACTATACAGCATGGCTCGCACAAAGTTGTAGTTCTTTTTGTAAAGAGCTTGGGACAAATAGAAAATCTAAGTCCTCCAAGTGAGAGAAAACCCAAGCCTTGTTTGAATTTCACGCTCCGAAGCACTAGTACTGCCTTAGGGCTGCATTCAACTCGATGTTAAGCTTACAATCGGTTTTATACGTGCTGCATGCTGTCAGGATAAACAAAGCTCTATTTTCCCTACGGTTTAAAGAAGGAAAGCGAAGCGATGAGAGCATTTAGCCGAGATAAAAGCCGAATTAAAGTCACAAATTTTGCGTATTTCAGTGCCTTACTGCTGTTATTTGCTTCATTGCTGTCATTATTTTAATTGAGTGCTCGCTTCACCTCTTTAAAATTTCAAGCTTCGCCGACAGGTCATGGAAAATTTACGTAGTTCGCAACTATTTGGAGGGTATACAGTTCTTTAAATCACCTCCGAAGGTTTTAAGATTTTGTAAAAGTTCTCTGTGCTATATATGTCCCTTTATACGTCCTTGAACTTTCTGGAAATGCACAGAATATCTCTTTCATTGAGCGATTTATAACTGGAATTTTAAATTTTTAAGCTACTTCACTTAAACTGTGTCATTTAAATTTGTGCGAAAGGATGTTTGTTTTGTCTGTATTTACAAAGTGTAAGTTAGATCAGATTTAAGCTAAGTTTTGGATGACGAGTCGTTTTAAATTTTTCAAAAATTCCCATTGGCGCGAGAATGTCGTGACAGGTACAGAAGTACAACTTGTAGCATTCTATCATATTTGCATCCGGGGATGTTTTGAAACAAAAACCAGACTATTATCAGACAGAGAAAAATTGTGAAATAGTCGTTATGGTTGTAAGAATAACAGTAACACTATTATAATTGTGTAAAATACCGATCTAAGAAAATTGAATTCACGTCAAAGATACATAAAATTTAAAAGTTACCTTGGAATTAACAGCAAAGGTATTTTTCACGATTAATGTGTAATCGTTGTGAGCTGGAAAGCATGCCGATACAAATTTTCTGAAAGATGCAACTCGACTCATTTTTAACTAGTGATCGTTTTGTCACGCTTTGGTCAAGTAAGGATGTGTTATCTTTCCCAGGTTATATCGGTCACGCGATGGCGTGACAAGCCGAAAACCTAATCAACTTGAATTTCATTTGAACCTGGTACTGTCATCGTCTTCACCACATGCAGTTGTACGAAAGCAAAGTAGTCAGAAAGTCACTTACACTGTTCCATACCAGTCATGTCCACTGTAAAATACACCAAGAAAATTGACTCTCCAGATGCTTTTCGTATCGATCCTGTTATGGGAGTCGACAAAAGAACTTTTTCGCGAAAATATTCGCGAAGGGAGAAGGTGTTAATTGCCGCGTTCTTGCTTGCCCTGGCTGCTGCAGTTGTGTTTATGACTCTGTACATACTTCAAGTTTCAAAAAGCAAGGAAGAGGTAGCCCCTTCCACTACTACAGCCTCTGCCTGTCTTGAACCTGCTGACTTTGTTGTTATCGCCTCAGGTTAGTTCTCATTTTGCTGCGTGCTGATCAGTGGTCTTCATGTCATCCTGAACTAACTTTAGCAGATTAAACCAAAGACATCTAGCTTACCTTCTGCCTTATGTTTCACCGTGATACCTTGTAGCAAAACGAACCGTAATTGTAAAGAAGTTATAGCAGATAGCCTTGAAAACTTAAGAATTCTAACTACGTTGAGAGGCTTGGAGCTTTTGAAGAGCTTACAATGGCACCGCCCCCGGAACGTGAAGCAAAACGAATCAAAATTTGTGTTTTAAAATTTTTTAGCATAGAAAACCCGGAAACTTAACTTTCTACTTGCGAGAATTTGGGAGTTGCGAAGCTGAAAGCTATAAACTTACAGCCGTTTTGGCTTTGCGTTAATTTCTGGATCCGTGGTCAGCCCTTCTTTGTTAATAAAGTAGAATGGATAACTGCATGATATGTCAAAGGATGGATCATGTTCTCTTGGCTAAGACTAATGCTTATGGCATAATCGTAACCATTTAGCCAGACGCCCTCATTTCTGTTTTCGTAATTCCAGAATTGTTCGATATGAAACTCTTCTTTTTTTTCTGTTCTAGCGCACGGTTGTGCCGAAAGGTGATGATATTTAGGGAAAACATCTTAAGGATATTTTTGTTTTGACATAAGATAACGCAATATTTTCAATAATAGCCTACAGAGAAAAGTGCGATCATCAGTTTGGAGAAAGAGCGTTTAGATTTTTTGGGTGATAAGGAACTTGTTTACATATATGACTTTTTGCATCATCTGATTTTACCGCACGAAAGCGAAGGTGGAACTCTGGCGTTGACTTTCCAATTTTATTGTCTCGTTTTTTTTATCTGTCTTCATAATAAAATTCATTGGGCGTATCAAGTGCAAACATCCAAGCAGAATATGATCCACTATGTAGCTAAATGTTAACGAACTTATTGAAACAGGTCAATTGACTTGTGTCAAAGTATTTATCACTTTGACAGATCAAATTACAAACATAAGTTTCGTGACCACTAGTTGATGAGCAAATGAGTCGATTAAGGAAGTCTTCCGTAATACCAACAAGGGAAAATGAGGGAACCCCTTAATTTCTCTTGGTAGACCAGGGAAATTCAGAATAGGCCTAAAGGGAAAAAAAAAAACAAAAACGAATAACATTATGCAAACGAAAACAAACAAAGAAACCGAAACAAAAACAAAGTATCGTCAACAATTGCTTCGTGGCTCGAATGTGATGGCTTTGCGGACATTTGCGCTGGTTCCGACTCAATGCGTAAATTTTTCAATTTCTTGTTTTGCAACTTGTGTTAATGGTCTTCGTCGTGAGGCATCCTGGTTCCCTTTAAGCGGGTTCTCATATCTTTAGTATTTTTCTATGCTGACGAAGTGTTATTCTAGCTATGAAATTAACGAAAATTCTCTTCAAATCGAAGAATAGAGCAAAATGTGGTAAGCAGCTACACTCTTCGAGAGAAGCTGTTCACCAGTTTACCCTTTAACTTCCTAGATCTGCTCGTCAATTCTCCCATTTAGCTGTTAGACGTTTCCTCGGTAATTAGTTATAAGAATTTGGTGTTTGATCAACTTGTATCTGATAAGTTTGAGTATTTTCATTACCTGTTTCCTGACTTATGTATGGATATCAAGGGAAGAAGTTACTCTTAATAATCACCTCTGGGAGTCGAAGGGTGAATGATGTCGACACAGGGTCCGTTTAATTTGGGGTGGCCCATTCGTGTGAACTTTGCGTTAAACTGGTCGTTCTGCGTTTTTCTCTCGTGTGTCGATATGTCTTTACCAATCGAGGGAGGGGTGGGAGGGGTAGATTTTAATGGGTGCCTACCCCCTCCTGCAGTTCTGTCATCCACTAAGATCATTGCCGTTCGCAGCTCTTTAATCTTTTAACTCCCAGAAGTGATTAACATGGAACTTCTCCCTATAATATCCATACATTTTCCTGCAAACAGATATTGAGAAAACTCCAACTTATCAGGTTGAAGTTGTTCTTGATCTAACACTAAATTCTCATAACCGATTTACAAGGAAATATGTCGGTAGCAGCTAGGGGGGAGAATTAACAATCAGATCTTGGGAGTTAAAGGGTTAAACTCTCTAAGGCCAAATGAAACTGATGCAAGGGGAGAGAAAAATCAGTTGTTAATTAACAGTGTGAAGTTTCTTTGTTTTATCTTCACGCTTTTAAATCAGAATTGAAGTAGACGTACATTTGTTTCCTTAAGCTCAGTGTTAAAGACTTGTGTGGTGACATGAATTAGGCTGCTACCTAACACCCTTACAAACAAGTCGATGCAAATTAACCAACAAGCTAAGCAATGAAATGAACAGAGAGGATAACACCGTGAAATTTTTCATTTCGACACCAATATGTTTTCATTTGCATTTTCTTTCACAGACAACTAGGTGTGAAACTTTTGTAGAACAATAATCAATAACATAAATTTTTAATGTTACCACTCAGTTGGCATCGTTGAAAATGGTTTACTGAGAAAGTGAGTTCTCTACATAAATTTATTTATATTCAGCTTACACACAAGCGTTTACTTTAATTTACGTTAGTTATCGCTTAGGAACAGGTGTGCAGATTAAAAAGGGGCGATTTCTTTCTTCTGGAGTTGATTCTATCAATTTCAAGAAACTGACTAAAAATAATCGAAAGGTAAAAAAAGGTGAAGAAATCAGTTCTTGTGAGAAGGCTATCGAAAGATCCCGTCATAAGATATGAAAACTCCATAAATCGGCTAAAGTTGTTCACCGTTTAGTAATCACCTGGACTATTATACACTTTCCTATGGGAAACATCGTGCAAAAGAAAGAGGATTAATTGATCTTCCCCTTGGAAGCCACCACAGGCATTATGGAGCTTTTCAAATATCCGCAAGGTGTTCTTTTGTGTTGCATGGCACAGAATTGCTTTTAATTACTTTTCTCTTTATGTCTTGAAAGCAGAAAATATCGCTGGCCCTTGTTGAGTGCAAAGGTGTAAAGCGTGCAGAATGCAATTTCCGTGGTTAGATTTAGATTAAGTTAACTGGTTTTAAACGCTGGTAACAAAGATTTCTACTATGGCTGATCTTAATGTGAAATATAGTAGAGCGGAGAACGGAATAGACTCGGCGGACATTGACAGTGGCGCCGAAATGGTCGACTACGTGCGCCATAGAAATGGTCTGTCCAAACTGGAGAAGTTTCTACTCGCATCTACATTGATTCTTGTTTTTGTGTCGTCTGTTTTCGCCGCCTTGTATATGTCTGAGCGGCAAACTAGAAACTTAATGAAAGAGACTTCTTCCTCGGAAAATGAAGATAAAAACTGCAAAGCCTCAAATGCAACTGAAGAAGAAAAGCAGAATAAAACCAGTGTGATGTCGAGCTGCGATCTAAATCCAAACTCTGCGAATTGTGTAAATGAGGTCATAAAACAAGCTGCTTTTGGTAAGATGTCTCTTATAACAATGGCACTCAGAAAAATCCTATTCGCCGTATTCTTATTTGAGACGAGGGCGTATTTATTGCTTAAAGATGAGGTTTCTACAGTAATTGGCGTCTGTTGTTGACCGATTAACTCTTTCTAGTTGATGTCGCAAAAAAAAACCGTGATTTTTCAATTTTTATGAATCATAGTGATGACATAGAAACTTATGTTTTTTCTTTGGTTTTAAACTAAATCACGCAAAGTTGAATTTGTTCTTAAGGAGTTTGGGCACTGATGTTTTAACTTCTCGATTACTGTTTAAAATTTAATGAGTTGAAAAAATACTCTCATGTCTCAATTTTTTTAAATACTTGACAACCATTTCACCACTTTAGATGCTAAATAGGATTTCACATTTTAAGCTATTAAGTTTATTCCAGTTGCCAAAATTGATTTCGTCTCGGAGAACTTCAGTTGAAAAATTGTCTGATTTTTTAGATACATTGGTGACATTTGTTATAGGATCGGTAAGGTGACTCCGAATTAAAAATTTGCATAACTTTTTATTACTGTTATTAGGCAATAATGAATACAGTGGAATAATTGTTTAAGCTTAGCACGTGATTCTGTCCCAAGAATCAACCTTACGCACTCAGTTGCTGCAGACACGTCTATCACTAGTCCTATGTTTGGCTTAAGATGCCTTCAACTGTATTTTACACTGGCCATTGACCAAAATTTGTTAAAATACTTTGATCTTCCAATCGTGATTTTCGTGTAGCTCAAAAAGTGATAACTGTAGATGAAAACAAATGATTTATGGCATAAATTAAAATATCCTGACAAATGTCTCAATCCAAAGGCACCAATTTTTGTATTGGAAATATTTTGACTTCAAAGGCTTTCAAATCCGTTTTCTTCCTTCATAGTATTGGTGAACTTGAGTGTTCACAGGACTTTAGCGAAAGCCCTCTCCTACTTACCTCCTAAAGGGAGCCAGAACTAATTCGAGATTGGCGTCATAATAGGAAGGCAGTGTTGAGTGTCACATAGAACCACAGATTATTTACGTAAAAATGGCTTTGTAAAGTATGTGATGATTTTGCGGTTGTTTTTGACAGAGGACGAAAAAGAAATATACAAAGTTTCAAAACACAAGTGCAGAGCTATTTTCCCCAGATGGCTTTGGTCAACTGAGTTGATAATTTAAATTGCTACTGTGAAGAGTTGTAAAACTGACGTTTCAGCGTTAGCTGTAAGTGGCGAAATTGCGTGGCATGGGATGATGGTCTTGTTCGAAAGAGGATTTGCTTATTTGAAGTGGGATTAAAAACTTAAAGAAACCATACTGTTATAAAAATAATAATAATAATATTAATAATAACTATTATTGTTTTTTAATGCCGCGTCGTTTTAACATTAGCTTATTGTTATGATCAAGTCAAAGTCAACAAATTGAGAATGAATAAAAATGTACAAAGAATTCTCAATAGACCCCTATGCAATGTGCCGTGTTTAAAAATAATAATAATAATAATAATAATAATAATCATAATGTGACTTTCATATATTCTTAACCATTTAATGATAATAATAATGATAATGATAACAATAATAATACAGTGGTTTGATGGTCAAAGTGCCCCTCTCGACATCTTTGAACTGGTGTGCTTTCCTTTATTTCCTCTTAACATTGTATGTAATACTGTTTTTTTTTATCTTTCAGAAATAATTGGTGCAATGAACGCAAGTGCAGACCCATGCGACGATTTTTACGAATACGCGTGTGGGACATGGATGAAAAAGAATACCATTCCAGAGAGCAAGTCGTCCTGGAGTCAGTTCCGTGTTCTTTACCAAAGTAATGAAATGGTCATGAAAAGGCTAATCCTCGACAATAAGGATGCTACAAGAACTAAATATAAAGATGTAAGTAACTACTTACGTTTCAGGTTGTTGTTGTTTTTTTTTAAATTCCAATGCTGTTTTACCAGCCATTTAGGAGCAATGTTTGCCGTAGACACGCAGTCCAATGAATGATTTTTATGCAATTCTGGCACGTTAACTGAGAGCCGTTTTGCGGATTTTGTGACTCTTTGTCTCGTTTGGGGTTGAAATATCGCATACTGTCTTTTGCTTTGCTCTTTTCTCTTCCACTGTCTGAGTTTAATGTTGTTTGCACAGGTAAGGGTGTTTTTTACGCACTCTTTGTCAGGTCGATCTATCTCTAGTCGGTGCCTCTTACATCTCTGCATTCAGGCCAATATCCACTTCAAACTGAATCAAACAACTAGTTTCTGTTTTATCAGTGAAAAACGAAATCTGACATGTTTTTAAAGGAATGCATTTTTTCCACTTCATTTAAGTGCCACCATTTGTTTGGCCCTTATCGTTCTTATTCCATTTCATACTTTTATTTGTAGAACAAAGCTGTCATGAAAGGGTTCGACATGTTTGATTCCTGCATGGATGAAGACAAAATTGAAAACCTTGGTGCGGAACCACTCTTTGATTTGATTAAGGAGTATGGATCCTGGAACGTTACGGACGGAAACTGGACGGAGGATTCGTGGGACTTCATGGACAATTTCGTGAAGATTCAAAAATATCTGTCGATAGCGCCTCTCTTCAACATGTATGTTTCAGCTGATCTTCGAGATTCTACGAAAAATATCATTGTGGTAAGTGACCGATTACCTTTAAGTTCGCAGGGTTTTTCAAAGATTTTATCTGATGATGGCAAACTTCTTATAATTTTCTTACGGCTATAAAAATACTTGTATTCTTCATTGTTATTTCTTATCCGAAAAATAAAACTTCTTTTGTTTTGTTTGCATAAAGCAATGACTGCTATTACCCGTTTTTCAATAAAATGCGGATCTTAGTTTCATTGTGTTTTATTTTGGACGTTTTCAGCTTGACCAGTCTGGAATTTCCATTTCTCAAGAAGGTTTTTTGAAGAACACATCTTATCATGTCAAGGTGGGTGCATTACTGAATTCAAGTTATAAAGCATCTAAAGCATGATATAACTGGGCTTCATTCTTAACAACGCACATTGGGAACTGAAAGTGTATTTCCAGAAAAAAAGTAACTTTCATAAGACGAATTTAATTTGGTATTATCACAGAGTCTAAACTTTCCTTCGCACAATGACCTTCCCTTTGTGACTGTCGCTTTTTGTAGCTTTTTGCGCAGTTTTTTGAACCCACACAATATATTATCTCTCACTAGGTCCGTACAGCATACAAAAAACTCATGATTGACGTCGGGAAGCTTCTCACCGGTGACAATCCAAACACAGAGGCGCTGATGAAAGAAATTTACGATTTCGAAGAATCTCTTGCAAAGGTGAGTCGGACCGTCATTTTGAACACACTTTACACGGTCTTACACGGTCTTACACGGTCTTACACGGTCTTCTTCTTTTTTTTTGGTAAACAATGTGTATTGTCTATGGTTTTACTTTTTGCTGTGAATCATCCCATCCAACCAGCGTTTTATGCTAAACGGTTCTTGGTAAACTTTATAAACTGAGCCAGAAGGAGAAAGAGAGAGATATCAGCGAGATATCCTCTGCAAGGTCTATCATGCTAATGTCTGCTTTCCTTGAAAAGACAACTTGTGGTCATTGGTGAACACTTTCGTACTTTTCTTCATGTAGTCATTCATTCCCAGAGAAAAACGAAGAGACACCAATAAGATGTACAAGAAGATGAAGCTTAGTGAGTACATCAAATCCGTTGGAAATACGGTGAGTGTTTATTTTAGAGCAACGCTGTCCAGATCTGACCATATTGCTCTCAATATCTGAGATACTTGGTAGACAGATAGCATGTGTGCGAGCAATTTTCAATTAAGTTTCGAAATAAATCCAAGATTGCATGGATTTTTTATGCTCTGTGACTGGTTCAGAAAACTCCCCCCCAAAACTGACAACAATCTCAACTTGATCACTCGTCCACCCCTCCCCCCATCTCAGTTTTTTTACCTCATTTTACATTGAATCCTCATTGATTTGGCTCCTGGTGATATCTTCCTATGTTTTGATTTGCTGTTGTTTTTGCCTTGATTTAGCTTGTACAACAGTCGAAAAAGGCTTACTGTAGTTAACTTTGTAAGTCGGAAGAAGTAAAACGGAGGCCTACGAAGAGGTTTTTAGGTATTATACTTAAATTGCATTACAGATTGACATGATGGATTTTCTCAAGAAGATGTTCAATGAGACAGGTTACAATATCACGGGAGATGAAATAATCGTGGGGCTAGCACTTGACTACATCAAGAATATGACAGAAATTTTTAATTCAACTAGCAAAAGGTAAAAATATTTTTTCTATTTTAAATTTTTCTAAGTTTTGAGTCCTCATCATCGTTATATATGGGCCAGTATACGACAGGATACTCAGAAGAATTTAAGATATGTCACTCTTACTTATATGTTACACAGTTTAAGCTTTGCGTGACAAGTTTTACCGTAACACAAGCAATATTATTCCAAAAATGGGCACAAAATTGTACGATAACGTAACGTCAATTTAGTCGCGTAGACCCTATTCAACACCCGCTCTTGTTAAACGTTTTTAGACATATCGTTTCCGGGAAGTATCACAGAAGGATATTTTTTTCAATTGTAGCTACAAAAATATTTCTTAATGACAGGTAGTCTCAACAAACTATTGACTGAGCTTGATATGTGACCCTCGTAGTTTGTATTTAGGGTTGCTCTTTCTGTTGTGGTTAAGTTGTTTTAATAGAGCTCGATGGTGTTGAGCATGTATTGAAAAAGGAAGGAAAACAAAAAAAATTGATGGAGAATTCTGGCAGGGACATGTTGTGGCACCCTACTTTGACCGGGGGAAAATTTCTCACTGAAGCACGTTACGCAAAGTCCTGCTGGTCTGAATACTGATTGAAAAGCTTTGTGGATGTCATAGAAGTACTTTGTTTATGTAAGACTTCCCCCCCTCCCTGACACATTGAATGGAAAACGGAAGGAACCAATCACTGACGCTACCCCGGTTCTTTTGAGCCGGTTTGCATGATACCGATGTATGTAGTATGATTCTTTTGCAGTGCACGCGAAGGAAATAAATCCCCACTTAAGTATCGACAGTATTTTTCGCTCCATGTGCCGACTGACAATAAATGTGTATGTCAGAGTAATCTGTACGTTTGTGTTCTGTATTTTCAGAGTTCTAGCCAACTACATGATGTGGCACGTGGTACTTCGTTTCTCACCGTATTTGAGTTTCAAGTTCAGAGAAGCTTTCAAAGAATACCAGAAAACTGTTAGCGGGACCACTGCTGAAGATCCTCACTGGCAGGAATGTCTAGGTGTCGTGAGCGGATCTTTCGGCATGCCACTCGGTCTGTTGTATGTTGACGAGACGTTTGAGGGAGAAAGCAAAAAATCGGTAGGAAAAGGGGATATTGGACTGTATTTAGATATTCGATCGCTTAACAATAGCAATAAACAGTACCCTTATTCCACCATTCAAGTTTTCACTAACGGTTTGTAATGTTTCAGATTATAAAATAAAGAACTAAAACAGACAAATAAATAAACAAACAAACAAAAAACAGAAAACAAAACGAAAATTAAAATAAAACGAAAAATTTCCTTTGGGGCGCTTGGCCTATTTCCTTCTACTGCTGCTGGATTCAAATTCCTGGCAACCGTGTTGATAGTAATTCTTCCTTGTAGGCCGAGGAAATGATTCACGACATCCGACAAGTTTTCCTTGCCAATCTGGAAAAACTGGACTGGATGGATGAAGAAACTAAACTAAAAGCAAAAGAAAAGGTTTGCAGTTGTATTTGCGAAGCTATGCATGCTTGTTAATTATTTTTATAATAATTTTTTTTTTCTTCTCAATAGCGAAAGATTTGTCTTAACATCATTCCTCATGGGAAAACGTGCTGCATTTTAGGTTGTGTTAATTGCTTTTAGGGTTTGAAAGCAAGAAAATTTAAGACGCCAACATTTCAGTAGTTGATTAAAAAATAGAAAAATAGATTGAGAACGCCATTTAGAGCGTCTGTCAACGTAGTTAAAACCATAGTAACTCTCACACACTAGCTGTTTGAAAGGTGATATCTTTGAAGGTTCAAAGTAATCCTTTAACCAACCCCCAAATTATTCTCAATCGGTTCTGACATTTCCAACGAACCTCTTGATCATTTTTATTTAGGAGAGTGTTTTTTAGATTAATTTGTTAAAGCATTCAAGCGATTGTCAATTCTTTGAACTGTCGCTCCTTCTTTCGATCATTTATGGATTCTGCGTTTCTTTTTTTGTTTCAACTTCAGTTTTATACTTTACACTCACATAAAACAAAGTGCGAGGCGGTTTGAACCAAGGATTGTTGTCGTTACATTGTTGTTGTTGTTGTTGTTGTTGTGATTGTTGCTTCTGATGTTTACGGTACACTGTTTGGTTAACCCTTTAACTCACTGAAGTGATTAACGTAAAACTTCTCCCTACAATATTCATACATTCTTCAGCAAACAGGTAATGAGAATATTCAAACTTATCAGGTAGAAGCCGCTATCTTGATCTAGCACCAAGTTCTCATAACTAATTTACAAGGAAATGTGTGGTGGTTAGATGGGAGAATTAAGAATCAGATCTTGGGAGTTGAAGGGTTTAAAAAACATTTTAATCTCTACACAGGCTCTAGCAATACGGGAGAATATTGGCTATCCTGAATACTTGACAAACAAAACTGCGCTATACTCGTTGTTCAAAGGGGTAAGTTTAACTTATTCAGCATCTTCTCTTTCAGTGATTCAACATTCGCTCTCCATTCCTTTTTTTCTTTTTCGACAGGCGGAGTCTTTCTTGTTAGTCTTAAACAAATAGAGCTCGTTTTAGCCATGGTCACCAATCTTGTTGACTGCATATGGAATGAGTTTTTTTTTTATTGTTTTGAAGCCTGCACTAGTGAAAATCAATAACAATGTGGTGGATCTTTTTTGTTGCTGTTTGTTCTTTTGACGTGAAAGCAATTAGTCAAACCATTTCTAATTGATACTCTTTGTTTCGTCTGAACCGCAGTTTGACGTAAAAAAAGACCAATACTTCAAGAATATTGTGCAATCCCAAGCATTTTTTAACCTCAAAAACTACGCCAAAATGGGCAAACCAGTTGACAAGGATAGGTAAGAAATTAAAAGAAAGGTAAGCTCGCCCCCTACTTGTTCGCGTCCAATTCGAACTGGTAAAGGTGGGTTCAAATTTGGTGTATTTGATGGGCAGATTCGTCGCAGCGAACTGGCAGAGGGCGAACTGACAATGTTAGGAAATTTCTGCAAACCCTTTTGGGCAAGGTAGTCTCTTTGCATCCCTCGACCGAGTGGTTTTAACGCAGAGTACCAGCTAACTGTCAAGAAAAACTGGAAAAATGCTGCAATGGGGAATTGTGAGTGATTAACTTGCTCTTGATGAGGATCTTACCCAGGAGTAGTAGCAATGCTTCTGGCTGCTTCATGCGAAGGAATCTTGGATAAGCTCTGGCAGTGTTGTCTCATCAGCTTGTTGAACTTTTTATGATTATTATTTAATGCAGGTGGTCCATGACTCCTCCCACTGTAAACGCTTACTATTCTTCCATTGAAAACAAAATCGGTGAGTACTTGTGTGTTTGTGTTTGAGTTAAGTTGTTGTCGTTGTTGCTATAACTTCCTTCTTAGCCAGAATTTTAAATTTATATAAAACATAAATGGTAATGGTATGACCAGTTTACGATTTCGGACTGACCCTTGTGGTTACTCTTTGCTAGTTTGCCTGTTGTTCTCGGTGTTTTTATACTGTATTTGTTCTCGTTTATGTTAGATTAGTGTTTGATTTTGCGTCTCCTTCCCTTTCAATGTTACTTGAGGTTAATTTTTTTTTTGTTTACGAGACACGGATCTCGTTGATCTTCTAAACGCACTGGGAGGTTCTTTGTATTCTTTTCTTTTTTTGAAAGTTTACCTCTCAAGGTTTTTTTCTCCCTTACCAATGAAAAATCTGCTTGCTTCTTTTTCATTCAGCTTTCCCTGCTGGAATCCTGCAGAAACCATTTTACGATCACAGATTCCCCAAGTGAGTGGCGACATTCGAACGAATCATTTAACTTATTTGATATTTTCTCTGTACTGACACGTGCTTTGAAAGAGGGTCGATTGGTGAGAAGCAGTCCCCGATTCTCTGGTATTTTACCTCTAAACGTGCTCATAGAATCTGCCTCTCTTCGTTCGCCGGACCGTTTTGGTTAGCACACTCTTGCTGCTGAAGTGGTGGTTCTCTTCGTTGTCATCATCGTTTCAGTAATTCGCGCGCTAACGAGTTGAAAAAAAAGGCTCTGTCTATTAATAGTTCGTTCGAAGTAGTTTTTAAATTTCGTTCCTCCATCCGGCCCTCGGTCTGTCGTTACATTTATTTCTCTATGTATTAATTTATCTATGAATTAATTCTTTTATTTGTTTATTTGATTTTAAATTTAAATTTTATCTTATTTCGTTTTTTTCTCATTTTTCAAGGGCTCTCAACTATGGAGGAATCGGAATGGTTGTTGGACACGAAATCACTCATGGCTTTGATGACAATGGTAAGGACGTATATTTGCCATAGATAATGTTTGAAGCCGAGTCTTCTTCAATAACTAGAAAGAAAGAAAAACTGTTTTCTTGTTCACTGAAATTAAAACACACACTTGATATTATATTGAACTTGGAGCATTTGCCGAATAAGAGCGAGGAGACAAAAAAAACGAGCGAGATTTGGAAATTTTATTTAGATTTGTGCTTCCTAAATTAGTTTTCATTTCGTTCCTGTAGGTCGACTGTTTAACAAAGATGGTAACTTGGCGAAGTGGTGGTCAAACAGTTCTATTACAGCTTTTAAAAACAAAACAAAGTGTCTTGTGGACCAGTACTCCAATTATGAATTTCATACCAAGAACGTAAGTCTGTTGTCATCGATGACATGCTTCTTACCAATTATGTTTTCATGCATCTGCTACGTGGCAGCAAACAAAGCCAAATAACATGACTTGAACACAACTAGCTTAGGGAACGTTCATCTCTTATTTTATTATAATGAATATGCGAGTGAATGACTGTTGACATTCGTCGTTAACTACGCTGATGTTTAATAGTGTAGAATGATGGGAACTAACCTCACAGCATCCTGACATTAAAGCCATAATCCTATATCTTTTCAGTCAAAGGTCATATTTTATTTATCTCCACCTCCCTAGTGGTACACCACGTTCGTCTAGCGCTGGGACGCTGCATTTTTGCCGCGGTTTCTAACGTAGGTTCAAATCAACATAGCGGTCAAGCGTCAGACATGCACAAGTGGATAAATCTTGCCCGACCGCGCGCAAATTTCCCGCACAACTTCAAAGAAGAACTTAAAAACAATCGCTGTCACGCTGTACGCCTGTGAAACGTCGTAACTTACGGACTTGCTCGTTGTTTATAACTTCTGTAAGACAACACGGTTCTGACTGCCTAGAGGCACACCTCTCAGGCTTTACGAAGTTCGCACATCTATGCGCAGACGTTTGACTGTTTGTCGTTTAAATCAAGATCATGCTGCGTAGTATTTACTTGCTTTCCCACCCAGTGACTTCTCCTTGTTAAGTTGTGAGACAACACGGTTTTGACCACCTGGAGGCACACCTCTCAGGTCTTACGAAGTTCGCACATCTATACGCAGACGTTTGACTGCTGTGCAGTTTAAATCCAGGTCATGGCACGTTACTTGCTTTCCTAACCAGTAACTTGTCGTTATTAAGTTCAAACCTCTTGTCAACAATCTTTTTTTAACAGCTAAAGGGCCAGCAAACCCTTGGGGAAAATATCGCGGATAACGGCGGGATCAAACAGGCATTTCAGGTGGGACATTGTTTTTTGTTCTATGTTGTTTAATTATTTTTGACCTTCCGTAACACAAAAGGCATCAAAGTATAACGATGAAAAGTAATGAATTTTATATCCTGACAATCGTGGCAGGAACAGTTAGCAGCCAGTTAGTTGAGCGTCAGTTTTGAGCCATGGCCATGAACTTAAGTTGACCAACCGTTTCTCCTTTCGTTTCCGTGATATCACTCGTGTAGTGATGTGCTCTTACCTAATTTTCCTTTTGATGTAAGCCTACCTCAATTAACGGCAAAATTGTTCGCAGTGAATAAGGAAATCAGAAAGCAATACCCGATCAATACAGCTTTGATATTTGACTGACGACTTAGAAACAAGGTCACACCTTTATGTGATCTTTCACCATACTTGAAAAAAAGTTTCTTTTGTGTACTTCCCGGTTGACTTTAAAACAATAAGTGGTTAATAATTGTAAAATTTTTGGACGAAGGCCTATCAGAACTGGAAGAAAAGGCGAGGCCCAGAGCCACCTCTCCCCGGTTTGAAAGACATCACTAATGAACAGCTCTTTTTCCTTGGGTTTGCTCAGGTTTGTAGATCATATTTTTCGTTTTGTTTTGTTTTGTTTTAATGTATATACATAATCAAACAATAAATGAATAAAAAGCAACAACCAAAAGGAATGTTAAAGAACAATAGCTTTTAGAGGTACTTTTGAAAATCTCTCTCCCGCATGTTTTTAAAGAAACTTTGGGCAAATATGGATACTGTAAACCTCAGAGTAAAACTTGTTTCGAAATTGAAACCGCAACAAACAAACGAAATTTTTGTTTTGGTAAGCGAATCTAGGCTACTGACTGTGTATGCCCAACTAAAGTTTTAGGTTTTTTTTAATAATTTTACCAAGGGAGTATTTTGGTTTAATGATTATATTTTTACGCATTTTTTTCCTATTCAGATCTGGTGCAGCAAATACCGCCCGGAGACGGCTATGCGCCAGGTGGATTATGGTGTTCATAGCCCTGGAAAATTCAGGTGCAACTATATAAAGTGCATGAAGTAAATACAAGGAGAGTCGAGGGACACTTCAGCTCAAAAAAATCCTAACTTAGTATGTGCGTGATAAGCACGAGATCGCGAAGGTGTTTTAATTTCTTGGTTTATGCGACTCAAGTGTGCTCCTTAAATTTAAGTAAACAGGGATCTGCGAATTTTTCAAGAAATCGAGCAACTAAATCAAAAGAAGTATATTTATCAAATGACTAATGCGGTCTCGCACTCTGTTATTGAAAAGCATCAGACAAAATCCCAATTTGAGGCTGCACAGGACTAGAATAAGCCTTATGATCTCACGAGATGCAAGCTAATAGAAGAAAGAAAGAACAAGATGGATTGACGGTCATATAAAACTGAAACACTGTTTATGAACTCAGTCAGGTCGGGCCGAAAGGGAAAATATCGAGTTTTTCTTGGTCATTTTGCACGGACCTCAACCAAATGTTTTTCCGTTCGGTCCACCCACTCGGTCAACAAGTGAGAGATAATGCGAGCTGACAAAGGGCTAACGCTCGAAACGTCAACTTTAGAAACTCTGTACAGTGGCCAATTTACTATCAAAGTTGATAGTACCATATTATCCTGTTATACTCCCCACCGACGCGATACCACAGTTTCTTAAGAAACCTCCCCCCCTAGAGTACCCACCTGCCATAATTCTCGAATTCGTTTTCAGTGTCCTATGAAAACGCGTTTTTCTGATGATGATTATCAACCAATGATATCAGTTAAACTCTCTAATCTTCTGATACATTTTCTTTTCAGGGTACTGGGCTCTTTATCGAACTTTGACGAATTCGCTAAGGCTTACAAGTGTCCTAAAGGATCTCCAATGAATCCTGCGAAAAAATGCGCTGTGTGGTGAACAAGTTTGTTGATGACCTTGAATAGAGAGATCTTCCAAAGGAAGCAAGTGTCAAAGAACGCTGATAGATAATTGTAGGAGATAACATCTCTATATCATTTTCGCAAAGAAAAACAAAACCAACACTATACTTGTCAGTTTGTAGATATGTTCTAAAAGGGACTTTATAAAGAGCTCGAGAAACGTGCATAGTTATAGAGACATTGCTTCACCGGTTCAGTTTAAACGTCTAAATTTTCATCGTTAAAAGTTTTTATCGCAATTTCCGCGCTTTAGCGCGAATTTTTATGATTAAGAGACAAACCAATCGTTTATATGAATTCAAGGCTCAGTTTATTGAATACTGCCTGGCTGCAGTTCAGTTGTGTTCGTTGTAGTTCTCCGTTAGTCTCAGCCCTCCTCCCGGTTTTCCTTCTTTCTTTCCTTTCTATCTCGCAAAATAGACTCTTGGTCAGTTAAAACGGGTATTGTTTGCCAAGAAGTGTTGTAAGATATCTTTAGATAGTAATACTGTGCCATTATTTTTATATTTTATAAATTTGTTTTACGTTCTCGTTAACTGGCCTAGTAGAATATGAACGCTTTCAATAAAGGTCATTCTTTGCATTTGCTTTCTAGTTCTTTTGAAAAACGTGAAGCGTGCTTCATTTTCATTTCATAACGAGCTTGAAGATAATGGATTTCCGGGGTCATTTATTAGCTCGTCCGTCTGTGTTACTGTCAAACAACTGTAAAACAACTAAGCTGCTTGAAAAGCGAGAAAAACGCGAGTGAACAGGTCGCATCTGATCGGTCGAGAGGATGGGCCAAGTTCTAGGAGCCAATCTCAGAATAAAGTAAGACAGAGCCAAGGCGATCGCGGATTCCTTTGATATACTAAATTGTGAAACTACTCTAAATCGAACAAACACTCCTGTTTTGCGAATTCACCCTTATGTACGATACCCATGCATATCCAGTATTTTGACTAGTGGCGTTTTATTATACTCTGACAAGTGAGAACTGAGACAGTGAGAAGCTTAGCGGTGAGCAGCTGCAAGCAAGATAAAACGAAAAACTTGATCCTGTCTTGTTCTAAAATTTTGAAAGACTTCCAGATTTATATTTAAAAAAAAAACAGAGATTATTCGCTGTCGATTTCCATATGTGATAGTTGCTTCGGGTTTCCCGTTAATCAACTATCACTTGATAAAGATCTGACGCTCAAATTCTAATTATGAACAGACCATAGAAATGACAGGGAAAAAAAAAGATAAGAGTTCAATTTCGGTTTTATTTCCCAAGGTTAACCAATGTCTTCTAACAATAAAGGTATCGGACGGGAACGGGAACGGGAAAAAAAATTTTTTAGCTGTGTCCTTACTCTGAATGCTCAATGAATGTGTTTCTTTTAACACAAAAAAATCTGAGAAAGTAAGGAACCTCATAAACAGAGATCTCAGAAGGAAGAGGGGAAGCATCGAAAATTGGGGGGGGGGAGGAGGGGGCAGGGGGGGAGGGGAAAAATGGGGTGGTCAACACGCGAATAGCCGAGAACGCCGATAGACAAAAACACTTCCCTTTTGAAGCAGAATTGGAAAGTGCCCGTTTTCAAGAGCCTTTCTGAGTGCTATTTTGTGGACGATAAGTAAAAACGCACCAAACAGTTTGCGGTCTAGCGAGGATAAAGCCTGCCTAAAAGATAAAGACTTTAGAAGGAAAGTATATAAGACATATTAGTTGGATGGAACCTTAGTCGATCTTTAAAGTTCCCACTGAAGAATGTCGTATCAATAAACAACTAACCCAAGCGCGCAAATGAGCCTTCGTAAATTACGCAAACATGTTTAGGCTGCGCAAAGCAGCTGAAGTAAAGCCGAGCCTAAGAATCTTACTCAATGCAATGAAACAACCATTTAAGCGAGGTTATTTTGTTTTTCATTTGAACAAGTTCATATTTTCTTTTAGGTCGAGAGCGCAACCGATTATCCCCATGGAATCCTTATATTTCGCCCATTGCAAAACGTATATTTGAATACTTTACAGACTCGTTTTGCGAGCTCTGTCAAAAAGGAATCGGCTCATTCGACTTTTTTATTTCTGTGGGAGTTTTGTTACGGTTTCTTTTTTTGCTTGTTTGTTTGTTTGTTTGTTTGTCCGTTTGTTACCTGGTTAAGCACAATTTCTGGGAACCGGAGTCGAACCTACGTACTAAATTTTTAGTAAGAAACAAAAGAGGCTTATGGATAGATGTACCATACAATAGTTGGTACTGTGAAGGAGCTCTGAGGCAATGCGTGCGCGATTCAATAAAAAACAAGTTAACGATAGATAGTTGTCACTTAGGTAAATCTTCATAGCTATTTTCAGATCAAATATTGTTCTTACACTAGACAATAAAACCCAGGAAACATATCATAAATCTATTGATAAAAGCTTGATTAACATGTTAGAATTATCAGAGCTTTAGGAGAACATCAATCAAAGTTTTTTCACAGTAAAATTGTCTATTGTTCTTAATCGCTTTCCCACGCTCAGACTATTTGCATTTCCATTCTGTTTTAGGTTCTTTTGTTATCTAGGCTTGGAGTAAATAAAGTGATTTGTTTTCTTTGAGTTTTTTGAACCGCGTCCACGGGGTCAAATAATTTACATATCTCTACGTGAGATATAAACGCTATGAATTACATGTAAACGACGGCACAAATTGTCTGTATCTGGGACAAATTTATATGGGATTAACGGCTGCTATACCTTCGAAACATCTTTTAAGAGTCCAGCCTACTGCATTTCCTTAGGGTTTTACAGACCTCGATCGTGAACTCCGCTGCAAGCTACTCTGAAGTTTGTTGACAGTAATCGGAGTGATGAATGATCCGACCACGAAAGGCCTTTTAAACGGGAATAACACTGAAAAACGGCGCGGTGATGAATCTCCTGGTTTTGTTGGAGCGGTACATACCTCAGGTTACCTAACCGATGTCGAGATACAGCCCACAAGCGAGAAGCCTATGTATCGCCCGACTGGATTGTCCAAACGCGAGATGTTGATGATCGCTGGATTATTTCTTCTTTTGGTATTGTGCATTTTATTTATTGCACTGTATGCAAAAGAGGCTTTAAAGAAGAGTGATCGCAAAAGCGAAGATGAGAAAAACGAATCGATTGGATGGATCCTTGCAGCCTCTGGTAAGTGAGCGTCAACGACTTTCCAGACTAAATGACGACTAGTCGGATTTGATTTTTCGGTCGAGTGGTTATTGTACTCTTAGAGGGGGCATTGTGAAAGAACCATGATAATTTATACTCTCTGATTTACGTTTTGATAACACACTGGGATTGTTTCCTTTTTAAACTAAATGAAAATATGATTGTTGGGATTATTGGTTAAAAGATATCTCAAGTTTACAAATATTTCTTCTGCGGTTGAAAAGAAAGTACATGAATTTGTGTGTTAACTGCCGAGGAACTTGACAGCCTACAGGCGTTGACTACTTGATAGCCACCGAGACTGTTGACGTAGTGTCATCAACTTCTCAAAGACAATTGATAACATCATCAACTTCATTTCTAACAAAAGGGTTTGACATGATCAAAATTAAATCAATATCGTGCAGCTTATTATCGTGGCAAAAAATACCTTCTTAAAATTCATGCGACAGACCCTAAAAGCAATTACTTCGATGCCTAAGGAAAATGTTCACGCCTTCTATTATCAAAAGACAGTTAAAAGAAGGTCTCAATGAGGTGATGGCTTTTACGGCTAACGGTTAAAATTTTAACCAATTTACGGCTAACAGTAACATATTTTCATTGTTTCCACCAGACATAATTTTCAAGGTTAAATTTTTTGATGACTAATGGTTAAAATTTGTCAATTTTCACACCTAACGGCTAAATTTTTTGGCCGTTTTACGGCAATCGGTTAACCCCATTGAAAACATCTTTAAAGGGGCATTTTTTGACAGTTGCGCGTAGTTTTCGTTGTCTCGAGAAACAAAATAACATCTTTAAAGGTCACTATTCAGGTGTGAAATAACTATAACAACTTTGATAATAAACATGATAATAATAATATTAATATTAATGGTAATAAGGGCATTTTATTTATTGCGCTGTATGCAAAAGAGGCTTTAAAGAAGAGTGATCGCAAAAGCGAAGATGAGAAAAATGAATCGATTGGATGGATCCTTGCAGCCTCTGGTAAGTGAGCGTCAACGACTTTCCAGACTAAATGACGACTAGTCGGATTTGATTTTTCGGTCGAGTGGTTATTGTACTCTTAGAGGGGGCATTGTGAAAGAACCATGATAATTTATACTCTCTGATTTGCGTTCTGATAACACACTGGGATTGTTTCCTTTTTAAACTAAATGAAAACATGATTGTTGGGAGTATTGGCTAAAAGATATCTCAAGTTTACAAATATTTCTTCCGCGGTTGAAAAGAAAGTACACCATCTCAAAAAATCCATCCCATTTCTCATCCCAAAAACACCATCTCTATCTTTGCTTCTACTATTATTACTATGAACTGTCAATTAAAGTACCGAGGATGTTGATGATGAATTAAAACAATCATGAGAGGTATTAAAAATTTCTTTAAACGCTACTTCGATCGAGGCATTATATTTCGTTTCCAAAAAAAAGTTCCCATCTCCTTTCACATCAATACCATTGTATTCATCATCATCATCATTTTTATCGTTGTTATGATTTTTATCGCTATCATTATTATTAGTACAATCATTACCATTAGTATGATTATCAAAGTTTTTTTAATTTGTTTGAATTCATAATCACAAAGACCCAGCGCAATTTTTTAACACTGAATTGAATTTCTGTGTTGTTTGTATGATTGATTCTTGATACTTCTCGTTAGATTGGTTTAACAGCTTGGTTTTTTTCCCGGTCAACGCTTCTTTGGTCTGATCCTCGTAGAAATGTATTAATTATGGAACTATGGTCAATGAGTAACCAACGCTGAGCTATTTTACAGCTAGACCTGACCTCATTTTACTGGAATGGTCGTGGCAGAAGGCAGCCTTTGCCTACAACTAGGCAGTCGGAAAGCCGCAAAACTCTAGAACAAAAATTTATCTTTAACATCGACACTCTTAGACTTCACAGTATCAACAAACGCTTCTCATTTAACTAATTTATTCTTGTGTTTTTCTAGATCTTCTAAGTGCAATGAACGCTAGTGCAGACCCATGCGACGATTTTTACCAATACGCTTGTGGAAAGTGGATCAAAAGGAGTTCTATTCCAGATAGCAGGCCTTCCTGGAGTCAGTTCGGCGTCCTTGACCAAAATAATGAAATCATCATGAAGAGACTTATCTTCGATGACGAAGATAGTGCAAGAGCTCAATATAAAGATGTGAGTTTCTGTTTTAATTTTCCTTCATAATTAAAGAACACGGCCAGAGATGGTTTACTAAAGCACTAATCAGGTAAGTACAATTGTTTGTTTAACAATGTGGCCTCCTCACGGATGTTTACCACAACCCCTTTTACAATATTGACTACTGTATTGCTATCATTGGACAAAGTAGCCATACAGATCGCAGCCTCTGTTTTCACTCCCGCCTACGTGGCTGCAAGGAAAATTGAAGCACGTTAACGATAAACGATTGGTCTGTTTGAAAATGCGTTTCTTTTGCCATCCGCTTTATTTTTGCTTTTTTCTGTCACTTTTTAGAACGAAGCTGTTATGAAAGGGTTCGACCTGTTTGATTCTTGCATGGATGAAGACAAAATCGAAGAACTGGGTGCGGAACCACTCTTTGATTTAATCAGGGAGTATGGATCATGGAACGTCACAGATGGAAACTGGACGGAGGATTCTTGGAACTTCATGGATAATTTTGTAAAGATTCAAAAGTATCTGTCGATAGCGCCTTTGTTCTCCATGTATGTTGGTGCTGATCTTAAGGACTCCGCGAAAAATATCATTTATGTAAGTGACAAGTAATATTACAGATTACCGCGCATTTTTTGTCATCCAACAGCCCTATCTATCTCTTTCTTGGCACAAGCAGTCACTCCTAGCGCTGAACTGGGTTGGAGACTCACCAGCTCCACCCGAGTCAACGCAAAGAGGAAGTCTCGAAGTTTATAACTTCTTCCCAACTATTTCTCATCCCTATGAGAAACTTCGCAGGATATTCTCAATTCCTTATACATCAGAGTTTGAAATGTCATTGGTTGCATTCCCTCGGTTTTTTCCCCCAGTCAGTAAGGATAACTATGATTCCAAGCTGAGCTAACGCCTCTTAAAATTTCTCACGCAAAATCATAGGGCTCGTCAACCGATACTCTTGATTCTAATAAGGGGAAAAGCCTTAGTCTAGGATGCCCCTTCTTTTCTCAACATCAAATACCAGGGTCAATGTTTCGTAAATGTGCTTTGTTTTGATTTGTTTTCTTGTGTTTCTTGGTTTATCTTTGTAGTGTTTCACGTAAGCATTGTTGGGATAAATTATTCCTTCATCATTTTATTTTTACGTGCACATTTTCAGTTTAACCAGGGTGGAATTTCTATTTCTCAAGAGTCTTACCTGAAGAATTCTTCTCGGGATATAAAGGTCAGTGCAATCTCTTGTCAAGTTGGCGAACATGCGTCATGAGGGTAACAAGTTTTGTCACTGGGCCCTTTTCGCTGGAAATCAAACGGGTATCGCAATAAAAACAGGGTTCAAAAAACAAGTTAAGCACACTTAATCCACAAGTCTATAAGTTCTAACGTCTCTGACAATTTACCCCATGTGAGATTGACCAAAGTGTCTTGCACTGCTCTTCATACCCATTAGATTCTTTTTCTTCGTCTAATAGGTCCGTGCAGCCTACAAAAAATTCATGATTGATCTTGTGAAACTTCTCACTGACAATCCAAACGCAAAAGCTTTGATGACAGAAATCTACAATTTCGAAGAATCGTTAGCGAAGGTAGGTCGCACTGAAACGCTTTCCATGGTGATTTTCGACATCTTTTTATTAAATTGTTTTTTGGTTCTAACTTTACTTTCACTCTTCGCCTTACGCGTTTTTCTTGCGCTCGTAACCGCTCGCGCAACCCCCCCCCCCCCCCCCCCGTCTGCTGTAGACCTGAGAACAATTGCAAGTTCATGATGTTTCAGCTGAACTTCGTTTCAGGCATTTGTTGCTAGAGAGGAGAGGCAAGATATACACAAGTCTTATAAGAAAATGAAGCTGAGTGATTTCAACAAATCAGCTGGAACCGCGGTAAGATAAAAATAATTCGAAGGTGACACCGTCTGGCTATCAACTGAAACCCATATTCTGTAATATGTAAAGATTTGTAGGTCAGGACAAAGACAACCGAGAAATGTCGCCCACACACTTTAAGTACGAAACAGAAAAAAACAATTTTGATATATATTTTTTAATGGTACAAGGATCCTGCTCCCTCTGTCACGAAACATCGCTTCAGATGAGCACGACGAACCGGAAGTTGAATTCGTATGAGTTATCGTCCTTAACCAATTTCGAATGTTCTCTTCGTTTTCACGCTCACCTTTGAGCTGTCTTTGAAAAAAATGCGCAATTGTGTGGTCAGGAAAAACATACAGAACGCTTTCTAGTCTTTAATTCTAGAAGGAGCAAACGCGACCTGAGTGCCCAGAAGTGATTGACATGTAATTTCTCTAAATGATATCCATACATTATCCAGCAAAGAGGTAATTCTATTTTGGGGTCTCTTCCTTTTTTATGATACAAAAAGAAACAAATATTTCAAAAAAAGAGACAAGGCGTTTGGAAACCGTTAAACGTGATATCTTTATTGCATTACAGATTGACATGATGGATCTTGTCAGGAGAATGTTCAATGAGACGGGTTACACTATCACGGGAGATGAAATGGTCGTGGGGTCCAATCTTGAGTACTTTAAGAATATGTCAGACATTGTTAAAGCAACTAGCAAAAGGTAACTAAGCCACGTTTCAATCTTCTCCATTAAAACTCCAACAATCTGATTTTAATTGATCACAGGCGATTGAGTCACATGTGGCATCTGTACTCTGCTTTTTTATTGTTCTGCTCTTCTGATAACTATTCCGACTTCGACGGAAGTGAAAACCAGCCACAAGAGGTGCATCATAATTGATCCTTTGTCACACTGTATTTTTCAGAGTGATGGCAAACTACATGATATGGCAAGTGGTGCGATATTTCTCAAGTGATTTGGACTCAAGATTCAGAGACGTTTTCCAAGAATACAGGAAAAGTATCATGGGAACCACAGACGACGATCCTCGATGGCAGGAATGTCTTAGTATTTCAAACCTTTATTTGGGCATGCCATTCAGTCTACTGTATGTTGACGAGACATTTGAGGGAGAGAGTAAAAAATCGGTAAGGAAAAGTGGAAATTGATTTACTGCTAAACCTTCAGCAATTTGTCAAAAGAAAGATGATGATCTTTTTATAGGGTTAGTCAAATGACTTCTTTTATGTATGTATGCGAAATGTGGCTCTTAAAACTTAATGGCTTGAACTGATTTGTAGAATCCTATTCGATCTGAGACTCAGAATATACAACTTCTCTCTTGATCTAAAATATTAGGCCGGCGGTATCATTTTAGGAACCTTTAAGGACAATTATTAAATTTTCGACTCCGAATATATCATTTCTAGTGTTCCGATTGTTTTACGCGACTCCGATCATCGAGTGAAACAATCGAGTCACCTTAGATGGAAATTCATTGCACCACCTGTTGCGGAGCTGAGAAAGGTTTCCAAGTATCAACAAGTGCAGAATTTAATAAAATTTAATAAAATACTTATTCCATTCTCCCTTGTTGGATACAAACTTGGTTTTAACCAATTCGACGCAACGCGCCTCTTTGGCTATTTACCATCCCATATCCAACACGCGCTCATGGAAGAATTGTTAAGTACACTCGGGAACTTTTAAGTTCATTAAAATGAGCGTATGAGACAGCGCGAAAGACTTCTGACATGCCTTTGTATCTTTCAACTCTAGAACTAGATTTCCTCGTGATCCTCACAAATGTCCCCTGTCTTTGTATTGTAGGCCGAGGAAATGGTTCATGGTATAAGGGAGGTTTTTCTTACCGATTTAGAAAATCTTGACTGGATGGATGAAGAAACCAAACGCAAAGCAAAAAAAAAGGTTTGCAATTTTAGTCACTGACTAAGATTGTTTATTATCAAAGCTGTTTTCGTTGATCGCCTTAACAGCTTATTTGGGACTTGATAACAGCCATTCGGGCAGGAACTTGCCATCAGACATGGCAATGACACAGGTCTTCTTTTTTTTTAAGCATGGGAGTCACACGTGCGATGCAAATGCAAACGCAAATGAGAGGATTTACAGTAATGAACCACCCCCAAGGAAATGCAAACGCAAGCTCAGTTCAACGCAAAGAATTAAAACATTTTTTTATTTTCGTGAGCTTGCATTTGCGTTTGCGTTCGATTCCCACAGGTGTGAACCGGGGTAACACAAACGCAAACGCAAACGCAAACGCAAGGCGAAAAACAAAGATTCCGTCGGTTCCATGCCACCACGGCAAAGTTCAAAACAAGATGGCGTTACCTATTTTTATTTTTTGTGATAGTACATAGCACATTTTAAGAACCTTTAATCTCTCAACAGGCTTTAGCAATACGGGAAAATATTGGCTATCCTGAATACATAAAGAACAAAACGGCGCTGGCCTTGAAGTTCAAAGGGGTAGGTTAATCATGCCAGCCTCTGTTCCCTCTCAGATTGATCTTGGAGGGTTATACCACCATTTTTTCAAGTTTTCATGTTTTTTTTAATTTCTCCAAACTAAAACCGATTATTTGTACGGTGTTCGTTCAAGGCGAGGAATCAGCAGGAGTCTGTGGTCTCTAAACGAACAGAATGGAACGGTCGCGTTGTAAACCATATGCTTGTACGCATTAGGTGGCAGGTACCACTGCTAATCTTTTTCCATTCTCTTTGGTTCGTCCAAATTACAGTTTGATGTGAAGAAGGACCAATACTTCAAGAACATTGTACAAGGGACTAAATTTTATAATCTGAAAAACTACGCCAACCTGGGAAAGCCAGTTGATAAAGATAGGTAAGGATGGGAATGAAAATAAAATAATTTTTTACTATGTAAGTGAAATTCGGCGATACTTTAATCTCAGTACTTTCAAATAATAGTAAAATATTCATTTGATATTATCATTTTAACTCTCTGCCTCCTACTCTCTCATTGACTGGCTTAATTACAAAACAAACCAAACACTGCTCGGTATAAAGGTACATGAAATAAGATCAGGATTAATAACAAATTGGAAAAATCGCAGAATATCTAAGTAAAAGCAATGTAGTTCATTTCTTGAAACTTAATTTTTTCCAAATGGCGGAACTATTCCTTTTTCAATATTTTTAAATGACTAACAGTCATTACAATCACTGCTGGTCGATTGATTTTTCAATTATTTGATTAACTGCTATTTTATTTATTGATTATTGTCTGTTCTATTCATGTTAAACCATATCACATTACATACTTACTGACGGAGCAGAACGGCCAGAGGGGCTCCAGGTCAATTCCGAGTCTGTTTTTTTTTTGTGCTAAAAGCGTGGGAACGCAAGGGTCACATGACAATAAGCAATTACTGGATGGGGTTGAACATAATATTATGAATTATGCCGAGGTCTGGGTTAATTTTGCAAACTCAGCGTCTCTTTTGCAGACTTTTCAAAAAATGTATAATAAAACAATTACTGAATTCGGTTTACGCACGATATTAGGAATTCTCAACACGGACACGAGGTTTGATAGTTCACGTAACATACGATAACGTGCGGGCCTGAATTGTTTTCAGGTCCTATTTTCAGCTACTAGTTCAGTAGTGTTCTTAGCTGCGAGGATCTCTTAAATTCGACTAATAATTGTTTTATTATACATATTTTATACCATCTGCAAAAGAAGACACTGAGTTTTCGAAATTTTGAAACATTATATGAACGAGGGGCTTGGAAACTAGGCAGACGAACTCGATGGTAACCCAATATTTGCTGCAGATGTTGGGTTATCGTGTCAACTTCACACGCTATGTTATATTGACTGTATGCTCTCGACCAATCGAGTCTTATGGTAAATCTAATGTATAATAATAACATGATTTATAATTATATATATATATATATATATATTTCACGGCAGCTGGGCCATGCTTCCTTCTGTTGTCAACGCCTACTATTCACCCACTCATAATAAAATAGGTGAGCAATCATGTTGTTCTTGTTGCTGTTTTTGTTGTTTGGACATTTGATTACTGTTACATTCTGTTTACCCAATGTTGGAGAATTTGATGGGGGAAGGAAAACAACTACTGCCATTTTACTGACTTCTAACGCACAAAGAGGTCATTAGACCATGCTTACAAATCCCTGTGCGCTCGATTCGTACGTTTTAAGCTTTCTCTATATCAAGGCTTTTGCTCGTTATACTACCAGTTTCGCATACACGTATTAGAGAAACTCTTTATAAAACGGAGGCTTGTCAAAGAAAACAGCTATTCTACAATTCATTCAGAAATTTGATGTAGCATCGAAACGAGCATTCCTTACTCATGCTGGTCTCGTCTTTGTAAACAATTGTTATGAAAAAAAGACTGAGGATGACCAGTAAGCGCGTTTTGAGCTGCTGTGGGGTTAAAAGCTCACGTACTCTGGAGTCGCTGCATTTGTATGATCTACTTTGAGCAGTAAAATGTCCTTAAACAGGAAATTCGAAAAAGGCAACTTAACTGTATGGGGCAAGCCGCGTTGCATTTTCCCGCGCAATTTTAGGAAGTCACGTGGAAGGTGTAAGCCAATCATCATATGTAATTTTGTTGCTAGTTCTTAGTACTTCCGAGGCAGTCTGTTTGTCGAAGAAGGTTTAGACTTAAGAAGCTTTAATTGTAATTTTAAATTAAAACGATTGAAGGACTTTGGCTTGGATGTTCTGCGAGTTTGAAATAGATACGAAGTTTCTTTGTTCTTGTATCTAAGTGTTCATATCCGACTCTCGATTTGTTTGCGGGTTATTTGTCCATTTATGTCACTTTCCGTTATCTATAACATTTGCTTTCTCCTTCCTCCTTAGTTTTCCCTGCTGGAATCCTGCAGAAACCATTTTATGATCACAGATTCCCCAAGTAAGTGCTAAAATTTTAAGCGGCGAATTAACTTGTGAAAGAAGCAGCATCTTTCCACCTTCAAGCCTGCCAATTCGACTGCCCGTATGTACATCTTTTCCTTTGATTGTGATTTTAATTTTATATTTCATTTAGAGCTCTTAACTACGCAGGAATCGGGGTGGTAGTTGGACACGAAATAACTCACGGTTTTGACAACACTGGTAAGGATTCTTATTTTGCTTAATTAGTATATAAAACAACCTTTCTGTAAAAATGAGACAAAAAGGCACACATTTTAGCTGATAAATTCCTGATTCTGTATAATTGTAACATTTTTATGTGAAATTTGACGATGCTGGATTTAAATCCTAGATGTGTTATTTTAGAGAACTGGAAGTACTTTTGATTCAGTTCTCGCTGCAATTCCTTTTGTAGGTCGGCTCTTTAACTTAGATGGCAACTTGGCGAACTGGTGGACAAACAGATCTATAGCAGCTTTCAAAAACAAAACAAAGTGTCTTGAGGACCAATATTCCAATTATAAGTTTCATTCAATGAACGTAAGTATGTTGTCATCGAACAATAAGATTCCTTCTTACTCATAAGTGCTCTATTGCACCATAACTTAACTTTAAAAATAAAAAGATGCCGACTACTATAACTTGCACACAAACAAATGAGATTGTTCTCTCTGGTTTCCCGAGTGCATTAAGGATCATTGAGTTTGATAGCCGGCCCTGATATGATCGTGTCAACTTGTACCAGATTACGATCGATAATGCTTTGTGTAGAGTAAGCAATGAATTACACAATTACCCGCCGTGGTCTTCATCCAGTGGTGGATCGTGATATCTAGTGGTGGTTTTTTACTGCTTTTACTGTTCCTTTTTCTATCTAATTTTTTCTTGCGTGTTTTCGCGTTGTAAGCCACTTCAACGCTCCACGTAACTTCTGGTTTTGCCATTGGAAATCGAAATAAGTACTTGACGCTCCTTTTACAGCTAAAAGGCGACCAAACTCTCGGGGAAAATATCGCAGATAACGCCGGGATCAAACAAGCGTTTCAGGTGGGATTTCGCTTAAGCTGGTTTTAGCATCTATTTCTGTGTTTTCTTTCGTTTTTTTTCGAGGAGGTGGGGAGGGGGAGAGGTAGAGGTTATTACAGAATCACGCTTTTCAGACACCTTCTTGATACGAACACTTCCTTATTATGGACAAATCTCTTGATCGCTGGAGAAAGCACAGTAATACGTGTAGCCTATTATTCAACCTGCTATAATGCGGACAACGAAGACTTCTTATTCGCAGTTTTGCTGCCCAAAAATTTTACTTCGCTTCGAGGAACGTTTACTGAACACATTTTCAAACAAAAGTCACAATTTACCTTCACCAAAAGCTTTGTTCGTGTTCCATAATACTTCGCGTATAAAGGCCTCTTCCCTAAATCAATTCTACTAAACATTTCAACAATAAATATTCCTTTATCAACTGATTAATCAATGGTACTCATTTTCATCCTGGTCAGTCAGAATTATAGGAAATCCAAAAACGTATAAATTTATTCAATTGAATGAAATGCAATTCTTTTAACGCAGGCCTATCAGAACTGGAAGAAAAGGCGGGGTCGTCCAGAGCCTAACCTACCCGGGATGAAAGACTTTACTAATGAACAAATATTTTTCCTTGGATTTGCTCAGGTTTGTCGGTCTTTTTTCAGAAATAAAATAAAGAATTTGCAAAAGAAAAGCAAACAAACAAAACAAACAAAATAAATAATCAAGGGAAATTGACGAAAAAAAATTTCAGAAAGCAATAATTTTAAAAAATGAGGTCTTTGCTTATTTTTACTGTAGAAGCCAGTGTATTAGTTTAATTTCAACAATGAAAGAAAACAAGCAGAGAAGGCAACTGAAATAATTCGAGAAATAACAAAATAACTCTGGAGGATGGAAAAATCAACTTTTGACGTTTGCTAAAATTCCCTGCTTTTGTACCTTTTCAGATTTGGTGCAGAAAAGACCGCCCATCGGCAATTGAACAATCGGTGAAGTTCAGTCGTTATAGTCCTGCAAAATTCAGGTTCGGCTGGTAAAGTCTGCAGAGACACATTTAGAATATTAAGCAATAGATGAGTCGCACGAAACAACAATAGAGTCTATAACTTGCGTCGCGTGTGTCCAACGAGACGTCACAACAGATGTTTTAGGTCTCCCCCAGCTCAAAGGGCCTCAGCGCCTATATAGTTTTTTCTAAGTAAGCACGCAGTGGTTGATGGGAGGAAAAAGGAAGAGTAGACTCGCGTCTCTTTTTTTATTCTAACCGCTTTCCCTTCGTCTCTTTCGTTCATTACTATTATGATTATAAGTTTGAACTCGGTCATCTTGCGATTTTGAAGCATGCCATTTTAAAATATTATGAATCAAGAAAGAATTTGTTCCTAGCAGTGGGGTAAGGCGCTCTCCCTGACCGCTTTGTAACGAGGCCGCTATTATTTTTGTGCTCTGACCTTTTCTATGCGCCTGTTGCAAACACAGAATAGGTTAGGAGTATGCGTAATAATAGTTTCAGCAGGAGGAAGTCAAAGTTGTCGCGTTTTCCATTTTTGTCTTGAGTGGGCGACGAAAACGCGTGATGATGGCCATGGGTATGTAGTAACATCATTAGTACACTTAAATCTCTTGACATACTTTCTTTTCAGGGTGATTGGTTCTCTATCGAACTTTGACGAATTCGCCAAGGCTTACAAGTGTCCTACAGGATCTCAAATGAATCCTGAGAAGAAATGCGCTGTGTGGTAAATACTGTCTTTGGTGACGTAGACCTGACGAGCTCTTCCAAGGAAAGGAGCTCCTTCATTTACCCGCATTCATTGGCGGAAACATGGGATTATTTAAGTAATAAACGGCAAAACCTTCATATTTATCATCTGAATTTAGTAGCGTAACGAACCTTTTTTTAATGGGACTTCATAATAAGCCCATGAAGCACATTTTAAGAATTGCCAGTTTTAGCGGTTCAACACCAGGTGTTTGAAACCTTTCTCGGGTGAACGGCGTTTCAACGTGAAACCCAAAAGCATAGGCGAGGATGAACCTTCATATAGGGTTTGGCTCAGTAATAAGTTCTTAAACTCAATTCAGTAGTGCTCGTAAAGGTGTAACGTTTTCGATAAGAAGTTCCTTATGAACTTTGTTCCTTTTATTGCTCAAACTATTTTATAAAACAGCCTCCGTTGCTTAACAGTGCGGGCAGAATTTAGCTGACATTGCTTCAAAAGTACCTCTCATGGCATTTATTCCTAGTTTCCAGATTATGCCTTGTATCGATTTATAATTGTTTTTTCGATTGTTTTTTGTTCCTTAAAACTCACATAAAAATGATGAAATAAAGCAGTATGACTCTACTTTTGCTTCGTTGCCTCTTTCTAATTAGTTCTTGACAACCAGGCTGAGTATCGACTTTACTATGCAGTGGCCCATTTTCTCAGTCATAATCTGAATATCTTTTCTAAAAGAGATATGAGTTGATTTTTTGTGTCTATAAAAAATTGCGATTCTGAGACGCCGGTGCTGCATTCATTAGTCCACTATCACGCTATTTTGCTAAAAAAACTGAACGAACTTAATTTGGCGACCGTACTAAGTTGTGGAACAAAATACCCGTGCGTTTCATATGGTAACATCGACTACAATGAACAAGTGGCGTCTCTCTTCTTGGCAGAGATATTAGAAGATCGTGATACTTTCGCTCTGACGAGGGGTTAACGCTCGAAACTTCTGCTTTGAAACTCTTTATGGTGCAGGTGGCCAGTTTACGTTGTCAGTTCGTTGATAATTATACAACTGAATTAAAATTATCCTGTTATACTCTCCCACAGACGGAGCATAACAGTTTCTTTAGAAACTTTCCCCTTAAGTTATTCTACTTAACGATTGATTCATGCTTTAGCGTGCACTATCGAGTTATGGAGCACGTGGGAAGTTTGGAGAGCACGAAAGAAGCGTAAGAGTTGCCCGAGGCAATAGCTGAGGGTATCTCTAGCTTCTTGAGCGCTCTCCAAACTTCCCACGTGCTCTATAACTCGATAGTGCACAGCTAAAAGCATGAACCAATTGTTTAATAACATAGCCGGTGGAATTGCGCATCAAATCCGACGCGAAAAACAGACAACCAGAGTGTCTATCTGTCAAAATTTGTTGCATTTCACCCTCGCACAGTGAAGCGAATCGTGACGGCGCTGATGCCGTCTCCTTTTCCGTTATTTTTCTCTTTTTCTTCCTCATTTAAGAACTCTAGCCCAAGGGAAAAGGTCGGAAAATTGTCTTCGTTTTGGGACTGGTGGGCCGAGTCTCTGTTTGTATCCATTATTTTCGCGAAATATATTATTTTTCCCTGCGCTAACAATGGCCACTCGTGCGAAGTTTCTGGCGAAGCGATTTGCTCACGCTATCAGCGTGCACTATCGGGATTTTGAGCACGCTTACGTTTACTGAATTTGATTGCGCGGCTCTGCTATCTATGTTATAATTTTGTATACTCACGTTTATTACTTGTTGAACAACAAGAATCCCAAGACAGCTATTTTTATTTATGATATTTTTATCATAATGTTAGGTTACTGTGGTTATGATTAATTCGCAGTTCACATCCTTTTCTGTAAGATTGCTGACTATCTGTTTATATAGGTGGCCGAAAAAAATGATGTGATCCATAATTTTTTTGACGCAAACGTCAAAAAACAGTTTAAAAATCAGTCACGAAACAATTGTCAATACGTCCAAAAGAAGTGCCAAAACCTATTTACTTAATTCATGCAAAGCACTTTCCAAACAAACCTCCGATGATTTCGAAAATAATATCAACCCGCGAGGAGAAATAAAGGACTGTATCCGCATTAAAATGCGAGGAAATCACAAATTTTCTTTTAAACGAAAGGTTCATTAATTCTTTTTATATCGCCAGCCGGTCCATAGCGAGAGGAGATCAAAACAAGCCAAATTCAATCAAAAACTAAGTTCATATATTCATGCATATGTTAGCAACTTTCCTTCCAGCTAATTGGGTGCTTTTGGCAGCTGGTGATCAAGCGATGTGGAGTAAAATTTCTAAATTTGACATGCAGATGCTCCTAGGGCAAAGAAACGCTACAATTTACCTTGGAGAGCATTTCAAACAGAGGTAAAATGAGACAGTAGAGGTTAAACATTGGAGCGAATTGATGTCCCTTGCTCTGTAAATCAGAAACCGTGAAACAGTTGAACGAGGAATTACTTTAAAAGCACAGGCACCTTGGGTAGGAAATAGAATTCATGAGTCATCTGGCTTTACTTACTGTTCTAAATTAGTCGAGAACTTTGGTTAATATATACAAGAACTGATATCCGTTGAAGAGACTCTCTTTGCTCACTCGCGGAGTAAAATCAAATTATCAAAAGAGGCCAAGGGTGAAATTCTTAATGGAAGTATATTCCAGAAGTACAACTCATAAATCCATACAGGGATTTTTTCTGGTTTCCATAGACTTCCTCGCAATCTCTGGAAATATCATCGTCTGCTGGGTTGTCTTTAGAAAGCGAAAGATGCTTCGCGTTCCATATTTATACGTGTTTGCTTTAGCAGTCTCGGATTTGACTGTAGCGATATGCTGTTTCCCTCTCTGTATCCAGGCGTTTTTCGAAAATGCGTGGGCTCACGGCCATATCTTGTGCCAGTTCACTGGTTTTCTCATTTACTTCTGGGCAGGGATTTCTGTTCCAACCCTTGCTTTAACTGCAGTGAATCGCTATTTCCGTGTGGTCAAAACGCAAATATATCGAAACTACTTTTCGGTGAAGTCAAGCCTCTTCCTGATCATGTCTGTATGGGTATTTACGCTTTGTGATGGTTTCTTATCGACCTTCGTTGGACCAGTGATATATCAATACGATTCGCGATTTTTCTTCTGCATTGGAACATTCGCCAGCAAAAAGCACCGATTAATCATCGGTGTGCTATTGCACTTGGTTCATGTCTTTATTCCTCTTGTTGTCATCGTGGCTTGCTACGCGAGTGTATTCAAGACAATACGAACGCATAACGCAAATATAACGCCCTCATTCCAAGCGTGGCGAAACCAGCCTTTGGTAGCCATGAATGCATGGGAAATACGTGTTACGCGGTTACTGTTTTTAGTGATCTTAGGGTTTTTCGTATGCTGGATACCTGTCATAATTATCGGGATTTTGTCGCACTCATCAGTAGCGAATTTACCTGCATTTGCTTACGAATTGTACACCTTTTTGGCAATGACTTCCACTGTAATCAACCCATTCGTATACGGGTTGGGGAATCGGGAATTTCGGCGAGAGTTTATGGGAATTTTTAAAGGCACATGAGTTGTTAATAGAAGTTGTGACCGTGAAATTTAGTTTGGTTTGCAAACTAGTGTTGGGAATGTCTGAACGATTGAAGAGATTCAGGTTATTAATCAAATCAAAAGAAAACAACTTGGTAGCAAACAAATCAGAATAAGAAAAAGGAAAAAAAAGAAGAACAGCGTTTTTTTCAATTACTGTACACTGACTTTGATAAAAAAATTAAAAAAAAAAAACAAGGTACTCTTAACGAATCAATTACATCCACTATCAAGCGTGAACTATCAAAGGAATTATAAGAAAGACTTCAAACGTTCTGTTTAATTAATACCTTTATCCAAAAACTTATTCAAATGCTGTGTCAGTGGATGGAATAAAGATTGGAGAGATTTTTCAGAGAAGCACAAGTTATCATGCGCGTAATGCAACTAATACACTGCACTACAAAAAGATTCAGTGGAAACAAATAACCATTTGTTGTCATTGTCAACTGTCGCAAAAAGCTCTTGTCTTTTTGATAGTTTGTAAAGTTTTATTTGTTTTCATACGTTTTTCACACTCTGCTATTGAAACACCTGCCAATAGCCAAACGTTCTTGAAAAGAAAAATGTCGTTGAAAATATAAAGGTGAGCGAGCTCATAGCGAGTCAAAGTTAACTTCACTTTCCACACTCCTCCATAATTCCGAATGTCAGACCGGTATATTCAGTATGGCTCACAACGGATAGTTCTGGTTTTCAGATTTTCAAACTTTTCAACTAGGGTATAGGCTGTAGGCGTGAAACAATGTTTATACTTTCTCAGAGTATCTAAATTGGGAAGATTTATCAGCTGGGGAGATTGATGTTGTCCCAACCCAGTTTGTTCGAAAATCTCTTCAAAAGATTCTGTATCAGAAACTGCTATCTTTCAAATGCCACCCATGAGCATTTTTTTCAAAGTTTAGTGGAGTACATACAGTTGCCCTGGTAACATGTCACGATGTGATTAAAAATTTCAAAGCACATTTGGACGAATTTATATTTATATAGGAATTACTTTGAGAGGTAAAGAATACACAGTTCTCCCCCTCAGACACTCAGTTTAACCTCAAACAATAGTTTTAGTATTCCCTGCGAGGAAGTCTTTCAAAACTTGCAGTCTTCTGGACTTTTCGTCCTCTTCAGTGAGTCCATGTCCTTTGACGGGTGCCTCAAAATCCAGATCTTCCTGTTCAAAATACTGGGGATATTTCGTAGCGTATAACTCCCTGAGCTGTTCGAATGTTCTTCCAATAAAGCCGCCATCACTGTCTGCCTGTTCCTTAAGTTCGCTGAGACAGTTTCTCAAACTGGTTTTTAAAAACAGAAAATAATGAAATTCAGGTTAGACTTTTTAATTAAAAAATCATTTGACGCACTATGAACACAATTATCTTTGTCCTCAAGAGCTGACGAATAGCTCCAACAAAGAGTTATAACCCACTGTGTGATGCTCATCAAAAACAAGGCGAAATTCAAATTTTATGATCACTACAGATAGCATAATTAAAATCCAAGAACGCACGTTCAAGGATTATTTTACCAGCCTATTCCCAGCAGGCATCCTTTTTTCCTTGTTGTCCACAGCTTTCAAATATAAACGCCCGCTACTTATACTCAGCTGGTTCCTCAATATCAAGTGACAATCATAATTTCTGCACACAAAAAAATATATTCTTTTTTTACACGAATGTTGCGATTTGTTGGTGATTGAAAGGATGTCAAATGGAGCCGCAAAGCGCTTAGCGTTTATGATGATGATGATGATGATCATCGTCATTATCATCATAATTTTCGCTCACAAATGAACATCGAAAGAACGATAGCAGAATCAAACAAATCATAAGCAATCATGTTATGTTATTTGTGAAATCAAATTCGGGTGTACTACGTTATATTTTAGACCAAAGTCCAATTCCGTGATTAAACACGAGAAAAAGTAACTAAACTAAACGAAGAAAAACAGTGGTAGGCGAAAGTGTCCACGTCAACATCTAGTGCCAAGCTCAAAATCTGTGAACGAGATTGTCTAAATTATCAAATTAAATCATGCACGCAACGCGTAAATAGGTGTAATAGATCTCACCTGTATTTGTTACAAAAATTCTGCGTAACGCTAACAGTGTCGTCCAGATTGAGGACACTGTGCCACCATCCGGTCGGTATAAACACGATATCACCTGGCTTCTGCACACACTCTATGGGAAGGTTGCCCTTCTGGTAACGATAACGATTGTGATCATGATCATGAAAACGATCAAAATTCAAAGGTATTTGTCATTGAAACTTGATACGATGAGTACGATTGATAAGATTTGTCTATAGTTCCTTTTTCATGCTGTAGTATCATGTATTCTTGCCCTTTGTTTGGTCTATCATCTCCTTTTTGCCCTTTAGTGCTTCTATCCTGAATCTACCCTTCCATGCATTGACTTTCCCTTAGACTTGTCCATTTTCTTTCAAATTGTTTTGTTTCACTTATTTTTTTCCCTGATCTGTTAAAAAAAATTTACTCGGGAAACATAGCTTTTGTGTTATGCAACGATATACGTTATCTCCAAGATTCATTTTACATTTACATTTTACCATAATCTTTTAGATATCACCCACTTATTAGCTGTTTGCAGTCAAAGTTCAAAATAAATCTGTATAGAACTTATCAGTGGTAATTAACATCACGGTAACTTCTCCCTATAACATATCAACATTATCCATCACACAGGTTATAAGAATACTCATGCTTATCAGGGAAAAGTTGTTATCTTGGTCTAATACCAAATTCTCGTAACTAATCAAGAAGGAAATGTGTAGCAGCAAGAGGGGAGAAGAAACGTCAGATCTTGGGAGTTAAAAGATTAACTCGAGGTTCATACCAAATACGGTCGGGTGTAAATCCACCAGTAAAACGCATCCTCCATGTCATAGTCTCTTTTTTGGTAGTAATTATTCTTCACACCTATATGATTAAAAAAATTAAAGCTTGCGGTAATCTCCTTTATTTGCACAGTTTTGGGCCAGTATCTGTTGTTCTTTGAAGGGGACAAAACCTAGCGATCTCTCAAAACTTCACACAAACCCGTTGGACTCCTCAGCGGCCATGTACATACAGGTGGACAAAAATCTCATTCCCTATGGTCTGTCCCTCTGTATCTCTTACAACTCGAAATTTTAACGAAAGCGAGGATTGGGAGGGGGTTTGGAAGGCTGCAGTTCTAAAGAAGAAAGTTTTAGCAGGCATCTTAAAATAAACTATCAAATGTTGTTGCTTCGCTAAAACGAGATTGATCATCATTGATTCTTCTTCGAAATCTTCTGGTCACCCTATATAATCCTGGCACTACACTGAGTCAGGAAATAGAGAGCATGCAGATCCTAAGGTTCAGCTGCCATCGACCCTCTCTCACTCGTCAGACATAAGGCTGTCCACTTAGCTTTCCTCATCGCTTACCTGGAATGTGGTAAACCGAGGGAGGGTACATGCCCCATAATTTAGCTCCCTGTACCAGAGCCAACCAGCCAGTTGTGTTGGCGGGGTCTACGTGCCATCCTGAGCCACTCCGTTTGGCAGCCATGATAATCCATCGCCAGTCAAGGCGAAGCTCTTCGTCCACATTGTTCATGAAGTCATCTGACTCCGCAAAGAAGTCTGGGATGATGTAGTCCTGCATTGACAATAAAGAGTACAAATTTAAAAATCTAATTTGAAAAGAAAGTCCATTGTAGGAGTAAAGGGGGTGAGTTTCTGAAAAAAAGTGTGGTGCAGTGTCGGTGGGAGAGCATAACAGGGTAATTTAGTATTATCAACTGAGTTGATAACTAACTGTGAATATAAGGAAATCATATATTTGAACTGCGGATAAAGACGTGAATATGAAATCAATCTTCGCAGTGATGAACGCTACTTGAGCAGTAGTGAAAATAAGGCCTGAAAAAAAATTCAGGCCTGTACGGGATTTGGATCCATGATCTTTGCGATACCGGTACAGTGATTTACCAACTGAGCTGTTGTGGCTGTTAATTTGTCGAAGTAATCCGAAGATCGCTTTCATATTCACGTCTTTATCCGCAGTTCCGCAAGCCAACTGGGAGCTGGTTATTATGTTGCTTCCAAATAAACCCGTGAAGTGATAAATAAATAACTGTGAATATATGAAAATCACATATGTGAACTGCGGATAAAGACGTGAATATGAAAGCGATCTTCGGATTACTTCGACAAATTAACAGCCACAACAGGAAGAGCAACAATTCTCTTACATTTCCCATGCTAAAGAAACTAGTGTGTGAGTAGGCAGGCATAAGAATCAATCACCAATGTTTGCAAGTTTTGCCATTATTAAACGTGATAAGGCGGATTAGAGTCTACTTCGCTTCCAAAATTTTTCGTGTTGTTTGTAATAGATGCAGCAGACGACTGAATGCCACTGTATAGACAATGAAAATTATACTGCATGTGATACGAGCTCTTATGACTTTCCTATACAACAAGGTCAGCTACATCTTCAATAAACGCAATACATCTATAAATTATATATACTTAAGAAAGCTAATAAATTATATGCGTCACTCCCCAGAAACACCGTCCCTCAAAAATTTACCTCTCGCAGCTCAGGATACAGATCAAACACATCTGACATAAAGATAACCCACGGCGCAGTCTCGTTGGCGGCTCTCTCCTTCAGATACTTCACGTAATTTGTTAGTGGCACCGGGGTTAGCCTCTGACCAATATACACGCCGTCCTCTATGCGAGGATCATGCTGGAATGTCTCAAACAGCCACTTGTCCATGGCTTTCCAGTTTTCCATCATGCCCGTTATAATACAAGCCTGACCTACAAATGTTCATTCATTACTCAAGACTTAAATCGGAGATTCACACAATACCCAAGTTGTCTGTAAAATGATTGGTAAGCTATTTTATATCACACAATAGGAATCAGTTGAACGCGCAATAACATCAAGGGGAATTTGAAAACTCACATAAATCTAAGTCGCACTTAGTTTGTTAGCGTTGTGTGGCAAAAGATGATTGAACTGCAGCTCACGGCGCAATAGCCCTCCTTGAGGAAAACCTTCGCTTTTAACAACTTAAAGTAAAATCACTTAACGATCGCGTAATGCAAATTTACCTTCTCTATAATTGTAGAATCAACCGAATGCCAGCGACAAAGAAAATAAATTACAACCAGTACCTGGTTTCATGCATTTCTCAGTGAACTCTTCTTTGCTGGGTTTATGTATCTTTGGGATAGTACAATGTGTTTCGTGTATCGGCCAGATGTCCACTACGTCCAGTTTCCGTAAATAATCTTCAAAAGCGCTCAGTCTGGATCTAAATCTCTTTTCGTGCGGCTGAAGGTCATCTTTGTTACGCGAAGCTTTGAACAAGGAAGGAAGAAATAAAGATTTTAGTTCAGAACTTATTAATTTATTTTCTTCTCCGTTATAGTTTCACTCACTCTTTTTTGTAGACAAAGTTTGCAATCGTAAGCAAATCCACGAACCTGACTTAAAGTACGAACCTGTCGTACTAGTCTTAAACAATTTACAATACTCTACCAATGTCCTAAAATTTGGAATTCTTTCCCAACATCGATTACTGGTTTGACTAGCTTTTTTACTTTTACTTTAAGAGATTGATTTTTTTAATGAAATGAGTCCGAATTGGCCAAGCCGCACATCCACATCCACAACTCATTGACAACCAAAGTGGCCTCCCCCATAAACCGCCTGGTCTTTTCGGAGGTCTCTTCGCCCCTCCATACTGTTAAACCTGCATAGATATTACATCTGAAGTGGCTAATAAATGATAAATGATGATGATGATGGAGATAGGCAGGGTGTTCTTATGGTGTAATCCCTCAGCTGTGTCTCATTGACATTTGAGGGCCTGACTGGTTATTCTGTTATCAGTTAGTTTCCCCTTTTCTTGAAAGTGAATCAGATGGGATCGAACACAGCAGAGGACCAACTCATCCCTTCCCTCTTACACTCATTTCATTCACCCTTTTGACCCGTAAGAGTGACGAATATCTAATGTCCCCCTACAATATCAACCCTTAATCAAACATTTAGATCACAAAAATATAAGGAAATGATCACCGACTAAAAAAGCTCTCGATTGTCTGACAAATTCTCCTCGTCAGCGCTTTAGGATAAGGCCTTAAATGTTTTTTTTTCTATCTCAAAGTGCTCGCCATCTTAATCTCACACATTTAAAAAGATGACTCTCGATTTACTATGGCTTGAAAAATGTATTTCTAATTTGGTAGCGAGTCATCAAGCCATTTTTAAACTCGATAATACCCATCACTCACACAAAATGATCGTATTCTAATTGCAATGACTTGTACTTATAGAATACCATCGTTATCACAGCTTCAAGTCTTTTAAATGAGAGCCAGTTTGAAGAAGCAACACCAGAGTATGGTGAATTTAAAATTCAGTGTTAAGCCCGTAAACACTCGAACTTGAATCAAATACACAGCGTCTATCTTAAGAACCTGCATGCGCTTGACCGCTGCGCAAACCCAGCTAATTCATGACCGATGGGTGCCGCGGAATTTCCACATAGGCCCGACCACTCTAAAATCCAAACATTTACTCTGATTAGCTGCATGTAAATTGTTATGCTTACATTCCATTTGATCGCCTTCGATGTGAAACGCATCAGACTTTTGACACAGTTTCCTGCCATCTTTAAGCAATCCACATATTTTCACCTTGTATTCGCCACTTTTCAAGGTCTCAGGCACGTGTACTTGCTTTACATAAACTAATTTTCCGCCAATTTTCTGCGGAAATATTATATCAGTTGAGTACGCATGAGCAGTATGATCTCTGCCGTCCGTAAGTTCCACATTCCAGTTGTCGACCTCCCCCTGATCATATGCGAAGGTGACTCGCCTTGCCTTTCCATTTGCGACCCATAAACTCGTATTTTTAGGAAGTAATATTTCAAATAGTCCGTCTGCAAGGCTGGCTAAAAAAGGAAAAAATGACAAATGATAGAGATATTTGTTTAATAGAATACAGGTATGGTAATCAGACGTCTTGAGTAGCTCTTTTTACGTTTGATACAAGTTCATTGTAGCTGCTGTTCCAACAGGTAAAATCTTGATGATATAAATGTGCGAAGATGGTGTGCTCAAGTGAAAGATGACTGATGTATTCAGTGAATAACACATGCAGGCATACTCGGATAAAAAGAACTCCAATTACTCCCGATAGGAGTCGAACCTAAAATCTTCCGATTGGTACTTCGGATGTTCTTCCACGAGTCTATCATACTCTAAACGCAAATTTTTTTGTCCTTTCCTGAACGATACTTGAACAATTCCATCGACCTCGCAGAAGTATGATAGGTATGAAAATGACAATTCAGAGTCACAGTCTACTGGTCAAACGAATCTCTGTGAAAATCGTTCGTTTACATCGGAAAAGCTGATTTAAATATCTACCATAATCTGAGCTCGAAATAATCACAAATTCTAATTTTCCCTCGATGCATAATTAGGTTATAAGGGCTGTGTTATTAACGTTATCAAATCCATTCAGTCTTACCAGGTACAAACAACAGAAATATGATCGTGTAAATTAACGCCATCTTTATTTCCCTTAAAACAAAATTAAAAAAAATTAGTTTCTGCTATGTGGGGAATATTTTAAAAGAAAATGCCTGGGCCACTCAAACCGCAAAATATCAAGTTGGGAACATAACACTGAATCACAAGTAAGTTGACGCGGGTTAAACCACAGTCATAAAACCTCAGTGCAATGATCTTATTTGCCTATGGTAGAACTCATCACAGAGTATTTAAGTTTATCCAGGGGTTTCAATAAATTTCTGCATAGGCGGCTACGTAACGATGGTGTGAGAGGCAGCTGTGCCCAGAAAAGGGGCTGTAAGGGGGAAACCTAACAGAAACCTTTACAGGCGGCGGTAGACCGCCAGTATAGCCGACTTTTATTCTTAAGACGCTAGGTATACTCCAAATGCTGATCACTATCGAGTCTCAAAGTTGAGTGAAGCGATACATTAAAATTAACATCTCCCCTACCAACTATATAACTGTATAGTTTAAGCAGCTCTAATTATTGTCGATATATCAAGTTTTCTTTTGTTCTCAAGATCATAAAAATAGAGGTTATACTTACAATGCCGAGCGAGGTTTCACGCTTTTTTCTGTAACTTTTTCCTTATTGCTCTTTGCGATATTTTATGATAGAGGCTTGATCAGTTCTCCGCACTCGATAGTAACCAAAGACACCTGTTTTTGTTTCTACCATTCTTGTTGTCCAAACACAGCTCACAGGCTGAATCAACAAATCTGTAAAACTCGACGTTTTAAAAAGAGGAATGAATGCGAAATTTTCATTTTTATCTATTGTGTTATAAAATTTTGGTTAAATTACCTGATAATTCAAACCTTTCCGAGAATTAATTTCGTCTTAAAGATCCTTCGATGACCTCGCCTCGATTCTGTGACATACCACCTTCATATGAATTATCATGATGAAAAAAAAATGGCAGACGACCGAAAATTTGCACCATTCACTTAGACACCTTTTTAAAAATGAAAGACTCAACAGTTAACTACGAGTTCAGATTCCTAACACGTATCCTGCGCATCTACGCACACATCAGATCATTGTCCGTGTTCGAGCATGTGATCATGAATACAAGTATTGTATCTCCATCACACGGTTCGCCATATTGACCGGGGGCAAAGAAAGTTCCTGGGTTCTAATAGAGAAATGTATCCTTTGTTTATCCTTGTGGCGCTTGGTTCGCTATCGAAATGATCTGAGCGTAGCACGAATGAAAAAATTGCGGCGGCTAACGATAAATACATCAATCAAAGCTTCCTTGATTAAGGATCAGTTTGTCTTGTGGGATCACGGCGCAATCTTAGTGAGGAAGATTAACGAAACACTTCTTGTCATTTTAGCACAAAGAAGTGTCGAGGAAGTCTTTTCCTGAGCGTTTCGAAACACGAACGTTTCTGATTCACAAATAGCGACCTTTCAGAACCAGTGGAGAGACGAATATGCAGCAATTTAGAGCGACATCTCACCAAGAGATGCGAGTGGAGTTCATATCGCATTTCTCGCCGACGCACACGGAAGAAGCATTTTGTTGTATGAAAATAATGAGGTCTAAGTGCGAACTGTGCGATGTGAACTTACTCGTTGGTGAACCTCAGCGGCGGATTGCCGCGCATCGACTCGTGTTGGCGTCATGTAGTCCATATTTTCAAGCCATGTTTACGAGTGAGCTAATCGAAAGCAGGCAAAGAGATATAACGTTGCAAGGAGTCGACGCTGATGCCATCGAATTACTCGTGGACTTTGCTTACACCGCGCGCATTCAAGTAAGCGAAGATAACGTGCAAGCTTTGCTCCCCGCGTCGAGTTTATTACAGCTAACAAGCGTAAAAGATGCTTGCTGTGAATTTCTTAAGAATCAACTTCATCCCTCAAACTGTCTTGGTATTCGAGCTTTCGCTGACACTCATACCTGCGTGGACTTATTGGAATCTTCGCATCGTTTCGCCCTTCAGCACTTTTTGCAAGTCTCGCAAACCGAGGAGTTTATGCTCCTTTCTGTCGAACAAGTCTTGGATCTCATCTCTAACAGTGACGTGAACGTAGAAAATGAGGAGCAAGTGTACAATGCGGTTATAAACTGGGTCAAGTTCGACGTGGACAATCGCAGGGAATTTGTAAGAGACCTGTTACCATTTGTGAGGCTTCCCCTGCTGACTAGAGAATGCTTAATGACCCGCGTTGAAAGTGAAGAATTGATACGAAATACCCCAGATTGCAAAGACTTGCTCATCGAAGCGATGAAGTACCACCTTTTACCAGAGCAGCGCTCTGTGCTTCAAAGCCCCAGAACTGTCTCCCGCAAGCCTACAGGACAAGTACCAATCTTGTTTGCCATTGGAGGGGGCAGTCTGTTTGCCATTCATAGTGAGTGTGAGTGCTATGATCCCAGGATTGACAGATGGTGCATGGTGACTCCCATGTCAACCAAGCGTGCCAGGGTGGGTGTTGGGACAGTATGTGGGAGAATTTACGCTGTTGGTGGATATGATGGAAGTAATGACTTGGCAACAGTTGAAGCTTACTGTCCTCAGAGTAATCAGTGGTTGTCAGTTCCATCAATGGGAACTCGTCGTAGCTGTCTGGGTGTTGCTGTCTTAAATGGTTTGATTTATGCCATTGGTGGCTATGATGGAGCATCCTGTTTGAATAGTGTTGAGAGATTTGACCCTTTGACAGCTCAGTGGACATCAGTTGCAGCCATGAACACACGAAGGTATCTTCTTTTGGTGGATATTTGTACAAATAAAATTACTTTCTAGCCCCAAATATCCATCTTACATCTTTTTTTTTTTTTGCATGTATTATGCAACTTTTTACAAAATTGGTAATTCAAGTGATCTGACCACGACAACATTATTTGTAGTGAAAATCCAAAGAGCAGTGAATAAACCATAATGGTAAAAAAATTGTTAAGAATGAAGAATGTAACACAAATTAAAATTGTTCAACTGAAAAAATCTAGCTGCTCAATTCCTCTAGCTGAACAAAACATTACAGAACTTTACTATTGGACTCTGGGAGTTCAGTGGGTTTTACATTAATTAAAATGCCCTTGATACTGGACTGATATACCTTGTATATTTTGCTGTCAATTTCTTGGAGTGGATGTCCTTGGAGGCCAAAAAAAGGTGTTGTTAACTTGAATGGCCCATTCTTGAGAATGGCTCTTGAGAACAGCCACAAGAGATGTCAATCCTTTAGATCCCAGAAGTAATTAACATGTCATTTCTTGCTGTAATATCCACACATTATCCTGGAAAAGGGATAGGTTGAAGTTGTTTGTTTGATTTAACACCAAATTCTCATAACCAATTTACAAAGAAATGTGTAGCAGTTAGTGGGGAGAATTAACAATCAGATCTTGGGAGGTAAAGGGTTAAAGCCATCAGTAGCCTCCTGGGTGAGCTTTGCCAGTTGAGGACATCACAGTACTGTGTAGATCTCCTCAAGTGACAATAATCACCCTGTAGGCAAGCTAAAACATGTCTGACAGCCTGTTTGACTCAAGTTTGGACTGCAAGGCCCCTTTTTTGCCTGTTTGGTTGTGTTCCCCCAACAGATTGCCAATCTTCCGCCAGGGGTCTCTGAGAAATTTTCTTGTCTGCAATGCAAAAAATATAACCAACAAAGTGCACATAAGATAAGGTCTGTTGACATGAGTGTCATTTAAGAAAACTTTTGGCAGCATAGCCAGCAAACAGTGCTTAACTACATCATAGAGAGTGACATACACATTTGATTCTTACCTTCAAACACTTTCTTCCCTCAGGCGGTATGTGCGTGTGGGTGTAGTGAATGGCATCATCTATGCCATAGGAGGCTATGATGGCAGTGCACACCTAAACACAGTGGAGTGCTTTGACCCCATGACCAATACATGGAGAATAGTTGCCAGTATGGCCAGCAGAAGAAGCAGTGCTGGTGTGGCTGTACTGAATGACATGCTGTATGTTGTTGGTAAGTTACACAGTGCAAATTGAAGTGGAGTCTTCTTTTCTGGCTCTTTGAGCTGCAGCTGTTTGTAGTCTGATGTAACGTTTCCCATGCTTAGTCTTTGTCTAAAACTTATTGTAAGTGGTATGAACTGGTGTACAAAATGGTCATCCCCCAGGGTCTGTTTTAAATTTCCCTTTTTTCTTTGTCTTGGTCTCAGCACAAGCTTTAGGTGGTCATCATCCATTCACTCTGGCAAAGGGCTTACATTCAAAATGTCAGCTTTAAAAACTCTGTACAGTGGCCAATTTACTTTATCAACTTGTTTGATCAAACTAAACCTCCAAATGTGTTTGTTTGTTTTTTAATACTCTGCCATGTTGTCTATTTCAATTGCAAACCATGTCGTCAATGCTACAGGAACTCAACAAATATAGTATTTAATGAAGTGTCCATTATTTAAGAATTCTCTATTACACCTCTCTTGCCATAGGTGGTAATGATGGAGCATCTTGTTTGAACACAATGGAGCGCTATGAACCTGTTGCCGATGCATGGACTTGCCTGGCCCCTATGAGTATTCGCCGCAGCACCCATGATGTGGCAGTGATTGACAGCATATTGTTTGCAGTGGGAGGTAATGATGGCAGCTCCAGTCTTAACAGTATTGAGAAGTATGACCCAGAAACAAACAAGTGGACATCAGTTGTCTCCATGAGCACAAGGAGAAGCAGTGTTGGAGTGACTGTGGCTCATGTTTTGCTGCTCTGAAGCTTATACTCCTTGGACATTCAAAGTTTATTGAGTGACTTAATAATAAATCGTTTTAATTAATATAATTTTTTAAGTTGTTGAATAAAGTGGTAAATTTGTACAACCTGTACATATGTGAAAATTAAGTTATTCTGCAGAGGTGTAAAACTGTTTCAATGACTTTGACTTACAATTCTCTTATGTAACTGTTTGGTCTAATGTCTTGCAAAGCACTCTCTACCCCACCACGGGCTGCTTCATGATAGGGAACCACAGAGAAGATGTGTAGTGAGACCAAACAATGACTGCAATGAAGACCATTGACTGCCATGTATATTTGAAGAGTTAGAGAAGTACATTCTGTATTATACATGAAGAACAGTGTCATCAAGTTACACGTCAGAGATGTAGCTTGTTATTTGGCTCTAGTATATCGAGACCTGTCTCCAGTTGGTGACTGAAATTTATCACAGGGTCAATCCTTACAGAAGCTCGAGTTTTTTCAGAATTACTTTTATAAAATAAATTTTAGTGCAAATCACTTGTGAAGATCAATTTGCTGCTTGTTATTGTAAATATTACAATGCACATTCAATCCTTAATAGCACATTGATGTGTCCGTTGTTCTGTAATCTAGTAAACTTTCATGTAGCCTTGTTTTGTGTTTTCTGCAAAATTCATCATCTAATATCAGAGAAAATTACAAATCAACATTTTGTGTGTTTTGGGGTATTTAAACATAATTATACTGCAGTTTAAGTATTGCAGCTACAATTAAACAAATATCTTCTGAACATGCATTCTCCTGCAGATTACTTCTTTGATATTGAGTTGCAATCAGTTTGTTTTGTAAGATTTTGAATTTGGACTTTTCAGTATTTGTTATTAAATGCATGCAAACTTTTCATTCTGTTGTACTTTTTGGACCATGTGATATGAGGATTTTACTTCAGTTGTCACTGTTGATGAGTTGATTGCTTTTTATGTTGCATTGATTTAGAAATTGAATGTACAAAGTTCTTGTATCTAATAAAGTTACCGTAATCACAATTATGAATTGGTATTTTTATTTTATGTGCATTTGCCAAGTAGGTCTGAGACTGTCTGGGTTGAAAATTGTTAAAAAAAAAAAAAAAAAAAAAAAAAAAAAAACAAGGGGAACATCTGTACATCTTCTAGCCATTCTTCCCTCTTGAAGGAAAATTTTAGCAACATTTCAATGCCGCAAATTTTTCTTTTATGGGTTTCTGACATGAAAGGATAAATTTTTCTAACAATCAAAGAAATGTCATCAACCCTTAAACTCCCATGAGTGACCACGACAGAATTTCTCCTTACAGTATCAATAAAATATCAACCAGATAAGTGGTGAGAATAAAGAAAAATATCAATTTGGGGATAATCAGTTGACCCAACACTAAATTCTCTGAACTATCATTATAAGAATTGTATGGTTGACAGTTAGGAGAATTACAAATTTGATGTGGGAGGTAAAGGGTTAAAGGGCCTGAACCCTTTACACACTGACATCAGTGTGCACATTCTCCATAGTGTTCTCTTTAAGTTCTCTTAGGGACAAGGGAGTTGAAGAAGGATTTGATGATGTTAAAAAAATGGTTACATTTGAGGACAGGTACTTCCTCATTAGAAGAATTTGAGGACAGGTACTTCCTCATTAGAAGAAAGTTAAAAGCTTATTTACAGCACAATCAGTTAACAGTGCAATAAAAGGAAAAAATAATGTTGAAAATGGATTTTATTCTCACCAATGTGGAAAAAGAACATTTCTCAATCAATTATACCTTGGGTTGGTTGAGATACATGTTCATTTTGCATACATAACATATCAACACTGCTGTTACATTAAAATTATCGTCTGTCCCACCACACATTTAAATGTAATTTTACTGAAAATCAGGAAGCACTACTGAAGCCCTTTCAATCTTTTTTTATGTTAAAAAAAAAAAAAAAAGATTCAAAGAAGTGGACTAGAAACCCTGTCACACTTCAGGAGGCAGTATAACTTGAGCAACATCTGTGTCACCAGAGGCCAGCAGGTGGGCTTGCAAATCATGGATCTTCAAAATCATTTACTAGTCTGTGATCATTTCTTCTTTGCACCTTGCAGGTCGCTAACATGAGAACAAAGAAACAGCTTGAGTATTAAATTGTAAACACAGGTTATTAAAGATTACATAGAACATTTACAAGTACACAAAAATATTTGATGGACATAAGTAATCAAATAACTAAACAACTGACTTTAGAACAAATAATCACACACTCTGACTTAAAAATTACATTCATCTCAAGCATTGTGAAAGGTCTTTAGTTAGAGGATTTATAATCATTGGAAACTAACATAAAAAGATTACCTAGTTTGATTGTTTATCTGCAAGTCAAATGAAATTTATTACAATAAAAACTGTTTCAGATTCCACCACAGGAAAGAATAACCCTGTAAACCATGCCCTATTCACAACAAGCTCAGTTGGTAGTAGCACCCAAATATCATTTAGGAAGCACAGGTTCCAACCCCATAAAAGTCTGAATTTTTTTGCAAGCTTCTTTTCTGCAATTGCTCACTGTAAACAGCAGTTCACCAGTGAGGATCACAGCTTTTTAATATCAAGCATTGGAAAGAATATATGCAAGAGAAATTAAGTAATGGTTACTAGAGTTACTTAGGTTTTTCTTTATGGCTGGTGACTGATGATTTCTGCCATACAGTTTTAGTACAGTTACATAGACCACAGCACACCCATTACTCACTCTTCTATGTCATCTGTGTCTCTGACATTTAACATCAATGCCCCAGCATCCAAGAAGACCATATTTTGGGAGTTTGAAATCTACAAATTAATTGTAAAATATAAAATAATCAAACTGCCTGCAGAATGATGAAGGCCATGTCAAGATATGGGTCAATAAAGATGCAAAGAATTAAGGAAAAAAAAAAAGAAAACAGGAAAATAAGAAAGGATGGGGGAGGACAAGGGGCCCCTTTTCAAGAAGTATGATTTGGTTTTTCCCATATTATAACACACTTGTGGTTGTTCCAAGTGTAATATAATATTTACACTTAAGCAATTAATCTAATTCAATATTACTGTACAAAGCTGATCATACTGTAGAGTTTCAATAGCAGTATGGTTGGTACTTATAGTTATTTGCCAAACAAATGAAAAAAGTATGGTCATGTTAATTAAAAAAAAAAAAATGTAACTACAATTATCTTCTCCCAAATAGTTCAAATGAAACTGCTTTTCTTTGAAGAAGGGGACAGACAAGGAAGGCATACTTGAGGAGGAGTTTTACTTTTGATTTAGGCCAGAAGAAAGGGTACCATAAACTGCACTTTAAATTTTATCCCTAATTTTTGGAGAATTAAAATGAATCAGACCCTCCCCCCATCCCCCCCCCCCCTTCCTGTCCCATTTTGTCTCGAGAGGTTTAAAAACTGGGAATCCTCTGATGAAATTTAGCCCCAAGGAAAATACATTTGTAAAGCTAAGTTGACACAAGACAAAACCCTACCGTGTTTGAGACATTTTGAGCTGCTCGTATCCGTCTCAGCTTCAAATAACCTGGATTTGACTTCAAAGCATTACCAAGGTGAACATTGTCAAGGATAAACAAATATTGACTCTCACAGTTATGCAGTCCATATTTTTATGTACTACATAGAGGGTGGCAAAGAGTTTTTTGTGTGACGCATGGTTGCAGCCAAATTAGTAGGTGATGTGTGAATTTTGCAAAAAGGGAAGTGTAATTCATGAATGAATTTATGAGCCAGCATGAGGCAAGATTTATTTCCTGAAATGTATGTGACTTGCAAATGTTTTCTCTCATTTTGCGAAAATCTCAAGATTTCCCTTAAATGTTAAACACAAAAGGAGAGATTTGAAGTTGATTTTTTGTACATGAAATGGGACCAGAACTCCTAGATGTATTTTGGCTACATGTAGAATCTACATCAAAGGATATCAGAGTGGCTGCCTTAGCCTCTCCTTCAGCCTGTACAATTTTTTGCTGTCGTTCCTGTATTGCCTTTTCCACCTGGTAATGAGCTCGCTGTGCTTCCTGCTGAGCTGTAGAAAAAATGAAATAAAATAATAATGACAAAACTCTACTGTACATTTAATGCCAGTTAAAGAACATACAAAACAAATTTCAAGATTTAATATCCAAGGAAGAGTGTGTACAAGTCATCCATTTTTTTAACAATCCAGTTTAACATAACCTCTGAATTCTCTTTAGTACTCACCGACTTGTTTCGCTTCAATAGCTGCTGTGTACTCTCGGCCAAAACTCAAGTCAGTCTGGAGAATTTAAAGGAGAGCATTAGCCTTACAAGAAAGACATTTGTAAACCATAGTTTTAAATTTAATAAACAAGGCATGGTGCCACTGTCCTGCAGAAAATGTCAATGGTTTGCAGCAATACAAGCACACACAATCTTGTGATGTTTGTGAAAACACAGTAGATGGGAGATAATAGACTTACAATAGACACATCATCCAAAATAATGAAGAAATCCTTAGCACGATCTGTCAACTGCCTTCTGATTAACAGACTGACCTATATGTGATAAAGAAGCAACAAGAAGGAACATGTACAAATTCTTTTCACTCATACTAATTTTACAACCTTTGAAGGAACATGTACAAATTCTTTTCACTCATACTAATTTTACAACCTTTCATGTTTCCTTCATAAATAATAAATAATAATAATAATAAACTTTATTTACGTGTCAAATAAGATAGCAGTTTCCCACTAAGTAAGGACACCTAAACTAAACTAATCTAATCTATATAAAACTATGCATTAAAAATTTATTGGAATATGATAAAAGAGCTCTTCCCATATAAAACTACCCTACCCCGAAATAGTAGACCCCATGTTTATAATACCCTACCCTGTATAATAAGATCATAACCTTAATATAATGAGATAATAAGATAATAATAATTACAATAATATGATCTTGATAATATTTAAAATATTTAAGATTTACATAAAATACAGTTCTTGCAATTATTCAAAGAGATTAAACTTTGTATATCTACTTTATGTAAAGCGTTTTTAAATTCTTGAAGCGTTCTTAGTGCTCTTATTTTTCCATCTAACTTAGACCAGATTATTGGACCTAAGTACCTAAGAGAGTGCTTACCATAGCGCGTAGTACTAACTCTAGGGATAATGAAATCATTGTTTCTTAAATTATATTTGTTGTTATTAATAACAAACAGGTTCTTGATATTATTAGGGCACAGATCATTTTTAACTTTAAACATTAACACAGCTATGTCATGTAATCGCCTATTACATAAGGTTTTTAAATTAGCCCTCTTAAGGAGGTCGCTATATGATGATATGCTATCACAATAAACAGCTCTAAGGGCCCGTTCTTGTACCCTCTCTAATTTTCTAGAATCACTAGCTTTGCAACAGTTCCATACAATACTACAGTAAGTTAAATAAGGCAGAATAGCAGCCTTAATAATTAGCATCACTAATAAGTGGTGTACAGTAGTATGCCACAACTACTACATGCACATGCAAAGATGCTTCATGGAAAGCTTGAGACTTTGAACTCAAGCAGACAATCATTTAAATATTTCTGTGCATATCTAAGCTGGTTTCTGGACTTTATTTTTTTTGTCACTTTAATTTCCAAAGATATTAATTAATTTTTAATTAATGTTTCTCAGATACATGTAGCATTGGAATTGCAAGTTGGAACATAACACAAGTTAACACTGTTCTTGAGATAAAAATTGTCATAACCCAACTTCTGAGATATAAAAAATGCAATGATGTGACATACCTCTTGACGCATTGTGATAAGCTGTGAAGCATTAAACTGAGCCACAACACTCTTCAAAACCTACATAATAAAAGAAACAAACACCAATATTAGGTAAAAAATAACATTAATTTTTAATTAATAATGTAAATAATAGATTGTGCTTCCTAAAATTTACTGATTCCAGTCTTTACAACTCAATCCTTCCAAATGAATATGTCCACATTATTTTATCTCTCACTCAATCTTTTGGATAATCCTTAAGAGTGCTATGCCTACTGCTTAAAAGTAAGTTGACAGTCTTGACTTGAAACTCAATCCTTAATACTCAAAACTACCTGGAATTTGAGGATTGAAAATCAAGGCTTTAGTTTTGCGGCTGTGACAAAATTATCCATTCAGAAGCAAAAAAACCCCAACCTAATAAGCTTATTTCCGAAATATAACAGAAAGTTTCTCAGAAATGTAAAGATTTTATCAGGAAAATTTTAACCATTTGCACATTATGATTGCTAGTAAGCATGACACCACAGCCTTGTTTTGCAGACAATTATGCATCAATAAACAAGTTTGTTAACCACGTTTTCTCAACTAGTGTTCTTTTCAAGCCACATAACAAAAACTCTGAAAACTGTTCAAGATGAAAGAGGAATTGTAAAATAGAAAGAAAGTTGTAATACGTCGCAGAACTTAGCAACGAGGCTATTCTATGTTGTTAAATATCAACACTTGGTGCAGGCAATAGCTAATGTAAATGTTGCAGGTGTTGCTTTCTTGAAGCAAGTACTTTTTTTTCGATTTGTGTCAGGCTCTGAAGTCAAACTTGGTAATTAAAGTAACATTCAGAAAACTAAAATTGTGCGAGATGAAGAATGTTCAGTTAACACAATGAAGAGGATCACGTATACAGTGATAATAATTTGCAAAGTTATTGCTAAAAACATCAGAACTAGTTCGAACAAAGTTTTGCCACTTCAGCAAAATTAAAATGCATGCTGTAACGTTTTTAATCCTGAAAATACAACAAAAGGTAAGAAGCTTCAAGTGGCGTGAAAAGTTAATTGCACAAAATTTTCTTTGCTTCCTCATTTCGAGGTCCTTGAAACTCGTTTCAGGTATTTTGAAACTCTAATTAAACTTTTCAAAACTTGACTCAATCCCCTTTCCTTGAAATTCTTGAGAATCCAGGATTGACAATCAAGAATGGAGTATCAAGGATTGAGTTTTGAGGAGCTGTCAATTTACCTTTGAGCAGTACCATATAATCCAGTGCATAGATAAAAATACCTCTTTGATCATTTTTTATTTTATTTCATCGTAATTACACAAACACCACATGTGAACTTAAATTGCAAAATTGGAAATGTCAAATGCTATGTCATATATTTTTCCTGGAAGAAATTGATATTTAATACCAATTAGTTACATGAACTATGTACCTCATTCATGATTGAAGGTAAAACTCTTTCATCAAAGTCCAACCCCAATTTTCTGTACATGTCAGGAAGCATAGTTGCCTGAGGACGGGCAAGCACTCGAAGGCCAATGTTAACCATCTGGAGATCTAAACAATGACAAAAAACAAGTGATAAGCAGCAAAAATCAGAAACATTTCCATGGCCCTCTTTTCAATTAATAATGAGATCTCTCCTCTTAAACCTGGTCAACAATACAAGGTCAGCTTGTAGCTCACACAAGCCTCTTGGTTTCTCCATATGTTTTTTTGCTACATGTTAAATTTTCAGCCATATTCATGAATATGTCGCTTCTTTTATTTCTACTGATTTTAAAAAATGGCAAAATAAACAAACAAATAAATCGACAAGATAAAAAATAAACATCACAACATCAAAATAAACACGATTGTGTTTTTAAATAGAAACAATAGAGATGGTAAGTTTTGAGCTAGGTAGAGAAATGGAGAAAGATGTTCTTTGTCTTGTCACGAGCCAAGGGACATTTAGGAAAAAAAATTCTGAGTCCCCATGAGGGGACACACATTATGCCATTGACGTCGCTGATCCTAGCAGTATGCAGGATGAACGTCATATGAACTTCATAATAGATCTTGCTCACCATGGCATCTCCATGGCTCAGTGGTAGAGCATTGGAGCACAGAATCTGAAGGTCTGAGGTTTGATTCCTCATGGGGACTCAGAATTTTTTTCTTTGTCCCACGCTTGTGACAAGACAAAGAACATCTTTCTCTACGACAGTGTTTCTTTCCTAAGGATACATATACAGTATGTATCTTGGTTTACTTAATGTTGAAATTTGTATGTTCACCAAGCATTATTCATAATTTGTTAATATTAGAACAATGAAAAAAACACTGATGCACTTCTATGAACCTTTGCTCCCAGTTGGAGAAATAATCTTCCTTGGTTTTGACCTGATGTCATAAATGATGGGGTACTGAAACCATGGTATCCTGTAGAATATGACGACAAACAAAAGCACTGATGAGTTGCACATGTTATCTACTGTCTCAGACTATAGCCTAACAAGCTTTACACATATAGAACTGCTGGGTTAACCCCACAAAAAAAGGAATTGCAATAAAAACGTAAATGTGCCCTCTACATTGTTGCAGGATGAAAGCTCCTATGAAGTGAATTATGACATTTCAACTATGATAAGGTTTGACTAGATTTACATAACCTAAGCTGAGATTGGTTGGTTTTTTTTGCCTTATTCGGCACATTTTATTAAATGCTGTTCCCTTAGGGGGAAGGGTGGTGTTAAAATCTGTTGTCAAACTGCTTTCCCATTGAGTCATCCAAGATATACACTGTATTTGTAAAATCATCTGATGTCACCATGACCTGACCTATCAAAGTTTATTATCCTCCGACAATGATTAACTGCACCTGAAAGGTCAGGATGGAGCTATCTTCTAGCCTTTATTTTCACATTCAAACATGATTGCTAGACATATTTCTTATTTCAAAACAAGCAATGTGATCAGTGCTGAATGATGTTAATAATTTTTTAACAAATTATGACCATTTGACCTTTATTTCTGGCGACCAATTGATTACTTCGACAACTTTAAAAAAGGCTAGGCTTTGAGTTTTGTTGAATAGATAACAAAAAAAAAAGCTCTACCTGAAGTGAAGGCCTTCAGTATAAATGTTATTTTGGATTCCTCCAATCCTGCTGAATATAATGGCCCTGTGACCACCCTCAACTGCCAAAAGATAGTTCAAAAGATAATTTGATTGTGTTGAACCAATTACCACATTAATTAATAAAGTAAGATAACATCTATCATCTCTCTAACTAGGAATACTCCTTCACAGATCTAACACTGAATTTTGTAGACCTATAACTAGAAGGAAATGTTTGTCACACAGTAAGGAGAATCCAAATTGATCTCACTTATTTGACATCTCTTGACTTCCTTCCTGCTTTTTTCCAACATTTCGACACAGAGGAAACAAAATGGGATCAACGTCTGGTAAGAATGGAAAGGGGGGGGGTGGGGAGGGGAGAAGGGGTGGTTGAAATTTGAAATTTGGTGTACTCTTCATGACCGGAATGAAAAAAGTCCAACGATTCTAACCACAGTCAGTTTAAGACAAAATGAAACACTTAAAAGTTGTAAAATAGTGATGAGATAAAAAAAAATTGATGTAGAAAAGTATGCACAATTTATTGTCTATGTACAAATTAAAAATTACATAAGACAGGCATCGTATAAAAAAAAAGGAATAAAAGCAATTTGTTCGATTTAAAAAAGCAATAAAAAATATGTACAGAAAAGCTACACGAAGAAAAACTTGAGCCAATTATACTTAATTCACGACAGGACAGTAACGAATACAATCGTGAATTAGAAAGCTTGATCGTGTATTCGTGGAAAGGAATACCATATCGTGTGCTAAAAAGTGATCTTGCCTCTCGCGAGTCATTAAGGCTGCATTAAAACTATACCTGTGTAAACAGACTCCTTGATTCCATATGCAGCTGCTGCAGCGGCGACTAGAAATTTTAAGCCAGTTCCAACTCCTTTCGGAGCTTTTCCCATGCGTCCAGCAAACTCGGTGAATTTGTCTGCCATCTTGCCTTCCTCACGTGTAGCAATACCTTTCAGATCTGACGTAAGAAAAAAGAAAGGTTACTAAGCTAAGGGAGGCTACCAAGGTCTCAAGAAACAAAATGGCGGACAGTGGAGCCAAGAAAGCCAGTGAGGAATTTTTTCAGCATTTAATCAGTTCTTCGGAGAGGTAAGACGCTTTAAAATATTTTTTTGGTGCAGATAAAATACGATGGTTCTTAGAGATGACAATTTTCTGTTTAGTTGCGTGGATGACAAAGTTTGTGTGGTGGGGATCTTCGGAAAAGACAACATTGGCTACAAGTCGAAAGCTGTACATCTGAATGGAACTATTGGGAAAGAAGTTTTCAAGGTTTGTTTGGAAATGAAGTAATTCAGCTATAACCTTCTTCTCATCTAATTTCTTTGAAGGAACCGCTCTTTATGGATTTTACACGTCATCATTAATCAAATGGACATCAAAGATTATCGGATGAAATCAACAAAAACAACAAAACTCATATAAGTATGTATTTTACTTAAACCCTATGCATTTGCATCTCATAGATTGACTTTCTAGATGGTACATTCAAGAAGAAGGATACAGATGAATTTTCAGTGAGTATCTTGTGAGATTCCAAAGCTCGTGATGACATAAAGTACCTGTAGGATTTGTAGCATTTTAATAAATACCATCAGGTGATTTTATTAAGTCATTTTTTAAGTAACATTGATATTGCATTATTGTATTCATGCTTCTAGTTTCAACTGATTAATTTTCATTAACTATTTTTCTTTTCCAGTGCACTATTGAATTGCTTTTTTGCTTATTTTCAGTGTGACATTAATGTCTATCATGATGTAGAACAGAGAATAATCTATTTACACCTTGTGTCTGTTTATGATGTGTCAAGACTGTTACAACTTTGTAAACAAGCTCCACAAGATGCACAGAATGCAGTAAGTTTCAGTTTCAAATTTAGTATTAGTTTTAGAATATTTTCAACATTTTTCAATTAGAGAAACATATACAGGTGCTAGTACAGGTAAACATCACTACTACCTTTATAAGAATGACATCAATGTTAATAATGATGATAATTTTAATAATAATGATAATGATGATAATAATAATAATAATAATAATAATGATGATGATATGGATAATTCTAATGAGAACAAGTATGACACAGACAATAACAACAATAAGTATGAAGACCTCAACAACAACAACATTTTGCGGCAGAAATGACAAAAACAAGGACATAAAAAATAACATTGCATAGCCCTGTAAACATCTGGCCTATGGTGTTAGCTTTGAATCAATCAAATCAAGGAACTTGAATCAAGGAACTCTCCTGTTCATATTGACTGCTTTCTTATAACTTTTCACCAAAGAAACATGTTCATGTCCTGTATGTACTAGGAAGGTTATTTGGATTGATGATATTTAATTCCTTGCTCTAATATTCAGAGGGTTAAGTGTATATTTGATCCTTCTGCTCAGGGGAAGCAGATATATGTGTGTTGTTGATAATTGAATAATATCACCTACTGCATCTCAGGGATAATTGCTTCATGTATTCCACTACTATGCCATTTTACCATATTAGGGCAACAGAACATGCCCAATATGCCATTGAGGCAAAGAACTTTTCAGCACTTCAGGTTTTTTTGTCAGCCATTATGATTATTTTGTCTGTTACAAATGCATTACTGGGATCAGTACAAAGTTCAGGTGAGGTTTTAACACAATTAATATGTAGTATGAGCAAACATTTTGCTCAGTGCATGCCAAAGTAGTCTGTGGCTTGCAAAATATCAGCTCATATTACTGTATGTGTTAAAGCATCGAATAAAGTGTATATATTCACTTATCCTTGGAGAAATGTTTTGTTAGTTGGTTATGACTGCTCAGTTAATTTTGTTTCCTAGGCTTCTCATCAGTATTGGATGTCCCATGAATTTTACTATGCCTGTGCATTACTGTTCCTGTTCTCTGTCTCTCATATTGTTGTTGTAAGTAATTACCTAGTAAACAGTTTCTTTTTGTTGTCCAGGTTACTTCAGTTCATTAACTTATTCTTTTCAGGAATGCTAGCAAAAAAAATTTTTAAAAAGAACAAATCTATATGACTGAACCACATTTTCAAAGTTTTCATCAACATTTTTTTAATAATTGTGTGCAACTGTAAGTGCTTGTTCTACTTAAATGAATTATTTGGCCATCAATTTTTCAAACCAATAACTACCTGGTCAAGTTATCCTCTTTGATTGGTTGAATAATTGTCAGTTATTTTTTGAAATGTTTGATATAATTTCAAGTTAAAAATTTTCTGTTCAAATTTTACAGCTTCTGCATCCCTCACAGACTTTTGATCTGAATTACATCAGGCTCTTTCGCATATTAGCTTCAACAAGGTAATTATAGACTAACTAAATTCTTATTAGGTAAAATTGACAGAATTCAGAGGATGGAGAACTTTTGAACATAAAATGAACCTTCAATTTTTTTGCCATTGTTTGAAAGAGCTCCAAGTTTTTTAGTTACTATCTTTTTGCAAAAGGCTTTAATTTGTTTTAGAAGACAAGTATGGCTTCAAAACTGTTTTGTGGATCTGGGCTATGTAATCCTCCATATAGATGCTCATTTCCCTTGTGAATAAATGTTTCATTGCTTTGCTAATTCCATTGCAGATAAAGATAAAAATTTTTATTACTTTCTAATAAATGGAGAGATATGTACATACATGTAAAATGCAGTTACATGATTGTGCAGGAGAAAGGAGGTTATAAATATCTCTATCAGTCATTTCTTGAAAATAGATTCACTTGAGATCAATGGGAAAAGAAACTTTTCAAATAGTTTTGTTTCTAAATCAAAAGTCACACACAAACACTCATTCACCTAAAAGAATTTTGCAAAAATGAAGAAAAAACACTGTAATATATTTTTCATGTAACCTCTCAAATCATTTTGTGCTTTAATTTATAACTTATTATAGACACCAGTTACTGCCTCAGATATCCCAGCTATTATCTGGTGTGGATGGTATTCCTGACATTTGGAGGCAGACTGGACGGCCTTGTATTCCCAGACTGGTGTGTTCAATGAAACAGGTCAGTTTATCTTTTATTTCTTTCCTCATCTGTATGAGTGATTTGATTTACAGGGTAGAACCCAGTAATAAGTATTTAGGTTGTAAATGACTTGAACATTTTTCATACAATAGTGTTAACGCTTTGCCAATTTTTTTTTAAGTAAAAGATCACCTCATGAGTATTTCACAGATTTGGTTGTGTGAACTTCCAATTGACTAGTAAAGGGTGAATTTCACAAAAGCATATTAATTTTGTTATTTTTCATTAGAAGTTATAAATACCAGGTGAATGTCTGAATATTAAGTGAAGACTTTTTCACTATTTCAGCGGGTTCCTTTCATGGATCCTTCACAAGTGGTAAGTTTTTGTCAATGTGAAATTAATTTAATCAAAGCAAAACCTTCTTAATGGTGATATCATCCATACGTCTCTCCTACAATACATGTAGATCATGAGTAAGAACCAATCAAAATGTGTATATAATTCAGTTAATTATAAAAACGCAACTTACAACCTGCAATTTGGGTTCATACTCAGAGCAATAATTTTTTTTGATATGAAAAGGTGCCTTTACATGTTCCTCCATAATTGTCAATATTTACTGTGCTTTAACTTATTAATCATAAGAGTACAGTGTCGACTGAGTATGAGTATGCTGAAATATTGTATGTTTCAAATGCAGTCAGGGAAAAGCCAAGATACTTATGCCAGCAAGACTAAGGGAAAACAACAAGTAAGTTGAAAAACAACAACAACAACAAATGTAAGGGTGTTTAAGTCCTTGGTCAAGCTTCCAGTCATAATACTAGGCATTTAATAGTCTGATTCCTTTATTTTCAGAATTTATGTCAGTTTAAATTGAAGGTTTTTGCATTTATTTTAGAGCATCACTCCACAAAAGAAACTTCAGCATGCTGTAGAGGATCAGCTGTACAGCATAATGAGAAAGGCCAGGCTCCTTGGAAGTCTTAGGTGGGGTGTATAACTAATGTGCAATTACACTTAAAAAAACAGAATGCATACTTTTGCAGGTATTAACATCTGTTTGCAGGCATGATTAACTCTAAATGCCTGCTTTTAGCTGTAGTATTATTAACCCCTTCTGCAGTAGCTGAATGTAAATTCCATAGTACTTCTTTGCAGATCCTTAGCTGCACATAATTTCACTTATAACTTAAGTGCACAGGCATGAATAATGGTGCCCTTTTTTAAATGGTTGGAGCTCATCAGAGGGTAAATTGCCATTTTCTTACAAATGAGGGTAGTGACGTATCATTGTTTATCCTTTCTTGGAATTGAGTAACAGCTTTCTTAAATAATTATAGAAATAAACCTATTCCCAATGTGAAAAAGGGACAATTTTTGGTTCCTTAACCGTTGGATGTCCTATAAATTTTACTGATTGCAAATTAGAGTTTTTTTAAGATGCCCAAATAGTGACATTGATGTGCCTCCTCTGTTTCGTTTTGTGTTTTGGCCCGTTCGTTTTTTGCAATAATGTAAAAATGTTGCTCTAAATCTACAGTTCCAGTTCCCTGTTCACTGTAAACTCAAGTCACGCCTTTGTTCACATGCAGCCATGTTCAACCAACTTCGACCCTGTTGCAGTTCTCCTTAATACTTTGGCTAAACCGGCTATCAACACTAAATGGGGTAAAGTAAACATTACTTACTCTAGTGAAGCACGCTTCTTTTTTTTTTTTTGTCTATAAGAACGTGTAAAAAATAGGAAAGGCCCCGATAGTTTGTTAACTCTGCGTAGCCGCTCAGGCACATTACTTCTTGTAGGTTTCTCTCCTTGACATCGAACGATCACGTATGCATGCACCTTTGCGAAGGAATAACATGAGTACGGAGTCCAGGGGTTTCAAAACTACCGCCGCCTGTAAAACCTTTCACTGCCGTCTGTTTAGCCTACGGGTACGCACCCGTGTTTGTGTTTCCCCTTATGACAGCCGCCTATTGCAGCATCAGCGGCTGCTTATGGAGAAAGTTATTGAAACTCCCAGGGAGTCTTTCCTCAATCCCATCTCGTTCGGAACTTTTGCCCTCAGTGATAACAAAAAAAAACTAAACCAAAACAAAAATAAAACTGGCAAAAACAAAACAAGCACTCTTCTGTTCGGATGCGTGAACACTTGTTACAGGCATTTTCAAGCGTTATTGCGATACTGTAATCTAAGACGGCAGATGAGCATGAACCCTCTGTTTATCTGGTAGCCGAAATTAAAGTTAAGCGTCTCTCCTTCAATTTCTTGATGGTTTTAACTCCCTACGTAATAAATAGTTTTTTTTAATTGTTCGTAACTGTTCCCGCAGTGGAGAAGAGTCCTCTTCTGAAGAATAGCAAATTCCTTAAGAGAGAATTCTCAGAGTCCGGAGGGAACAGCGAAGCACATTCCACGGATTACGTGTTGTTCCGAGACTACCTGAAACAGCAGATTGATCTCTTAATGACCGGAGATGGTGGTCGAGATGGAGTGGCTGAGGGACGCAGAGGAACGCATGTAGAGGTACAGTATTTAAAAATTTCACTATCATTTTCCAGGTCTGGAAGTGATATAACTTTAGAGTAAGATGCGGAAGAACGCATGTTTAGGTCTTACTCTATTACAACGACATTTTTCAGCTCTGGAAGTAATATAATTTTACAGTGCATGTAGTAGTGGAGGTCCTGAAAGTCATGGAAATGACTGAGAATGAGCTTTACGAACGTGAAGGCTCGACCGAAATACTTTGACTGAAAGATCACGTGCATAAACCAACTTCTCGATTTGGAAATGTCAGCAGAGTACTGTGTAATGGTTGTGGAAAAACATGAAATTTGATCATTTCTAAAGATAAATAGTGGTACTTTAGGCGCACTAGAGAACATATGGCCATGTGGTCTTCGGTGTACACGGTTAGCTTAAGGCGAAAGATAAGGAAGGAAGAGAAAGCAAAAGGGTGTCAGCTAAATACAACTGTATGTAAATTCCATCTTTGTAGTGTATTTCCTTAAGCTTCTGCAGTGTTTTTTCCAGCCCATTAAACTCTTTTTTCTAAATTCTTCTTCATCAATTAAATTAATTTTCTCCCTTTCTGCCATTATATTACCTTTACTTTAGGGATCAAATCGAGAAATCGACAATAGCCTTTTTCACAGACGCCTTGTTAAAACAGACATCCGTCCCAGGAACTTTCTTCTAATCTTTGTAAACATATCCCAAAGGTTTTCTGTTGGTGCTTTACATGCGCTGATATTTGACGTTCATAACTCGTGTTCTTTGGCAATGCAGGTTCCTTCTTGCCGTTTGTGGGCGCGTGTATCGCTTGCTCTGTATGAGTTCTTCTTGACTCCAAAGAATGACTTGATAGCTCCTCTCACCGCCATGGCATCTAATCTAGATCTCGACATGAAATTCTCTGAGGCGTAAGTAATGCTCTGTTTTGTCCAGGTTTTTATAGAGTAAGGCTCTATAAAACAACATTAGATACGTTTTACAGGCAAAAACTCTCTTTACGAGGATGGCCCTTAAAGGTCATTCTAAAATGTCT